TGTTTGTCTCACACTTATCTCAACATAACTATAAACAATATGTGTCCTGTCAGTTTATTTGATGATGCGTGTTTTTTTTTTCTCTCAAAAGGTTCATCAAAGAACTACTGAACAAAAAGGTATGATTCTGTGAAAGAGTCGTTAAGAAACTGGTCAGCGCTGTTGTCTAACTTTAGTGTTTTTGGTCTCGGGGTTGGTTGGTGGTCCTAACAGTACCCCCTGGTGAAACCAGTGGTCACTCCACGTTTTGCACCGTCCTGCACAGAGGCCTTGCTTGCTAAGCTGGGAGAAATTGCCAAGAATAACAAGCTGCATATTCAAGTGAGTTGATTATTTCTAGTGCAGAACCGAAAGAGATTATTTATTTATTTATTTATTTATTTATTTATTTATTTATTTATTTATTTCAGAGTCACATCAGTGAAAATCTTGAGGAGGTGGAGTTGGTGAAGGAGCTTTTCCCCAATATGGAGTCTTACACAGACGTCTATCACAGATGCAACCTTCTCACAGACAAGGTAAGAGCGCAGTCAGATTCACCTTTTACCAAACACTTGGTCAAATGTGAATGCTTGCATACAATCAGACGAAATGTTCCTGACCCCTTGCAGACTATTATGGCCCATGGCTGCCACCTCAGTGATGAAGAGTTGGCTCTGTTCAGGAAAACAGGAGCTGCTCTATCCCACTGTCCCAATTCAAACATCTCGTAAGTTTTTACTCAGAACCAAGATAAGGTCAGAAATTTGCAGAACATAGGTATTATCTTAAAATGAGGACAGTGAGACATGCAATATTACTGTTTGAACATTGAAGCTGAATAAACTGATTCCAATGCATTCCAGGAAATAGACAGATGGCTGTAAAAAGGCCAACGAGACAGTCCACACAAAAAATACGTTTTTAATAAAATTGGTGATATCTCTGTTTAACCAGATTGTGCAGCGGAGTGCTGAATGTGCGCAACGTCCTGAATCACAAAGTGAAGCTGGGGCTGGGTACAGGTGAGTGAAAATGCTCGACAATGACATAAAGATAGAAAGTCTGAGCAGGTATGCTGGTCAACTCAGTGTTAAAGAACATTTTAGAGATTCTTTCATATCCATCAAAAGCTAAATGAAGTTGCCTTGTCCAAGTTACATGTCAGTGAACGCTTGCAACCTTCTCCGTTTGTCCTCCATCAGATGTGGCAGGAGGCTATTCACCTTCCATCCTTGATGCTGTGCGAAGAGCCCTGGACTCGTCCAAAGTCCTCACCATCCAGGACCCAGAACACAAAACACTCCGCTTTGACGAGGTCTTCAGACTGGCCACACTGGGAGGGAGTCAAGGTGAGATCCAAAAACAAATAGTTATTTGGCAACAGTTGTATCTATAGATATGGACCCTCTGCATTGACTTACAAAACTTGTATGGTGACATACTGTTGGGTTTTTTTGTTGTTGTTTTTTTTGCAGCGTTGTCTCTCGATGAGCGAACAGGAAACTTTGAGGTGGGAAAGGACTTTGATGCCTTGAGAGTTAATGTGGCTGCTCCAGGTGGACCCATCGACCTAATCCAAAATGAGGAACCACAGGTAATGGGGTGATGTCGACGCATGTTGACACATAAAGTGCTCAAAAGTTTAAACTCCATCTCAAATATAACAGCAATCTGTAATCATTGCCTTTCAGATTCTTTTGGAGAAGTTCTTGAATTTGGGTGAGCTTCAGCTTCTTTATGTATTTAGTCGCTTCTTTTTATTTTAGTCTCTCAATCCTCAAATGCGTCTCTCTTCCCTAACATGTCCTTTGGCAGGTGATGATCGAAACATTGTGGAGGTGTTTGTAGCTGGGAAGAAGGTGGTGCCTTTCAGTGAGCCATGAACAGACAGGACTTTGTCCTCCCTCACATTGGCATGAAATAAACAAACACACACTGTGGCTGCTTCAGCTATGTTTTTGCACAAAAGTAAATTAATGGGAGTAAAATATGGTGGACACAGGGATATTTTTAATATGTATATTTTAGGACAGAGTATGTGATTTAGTCCATCATTCTTTAGCCTGTATGCTGGACTTTTGATTGGGAAGCAAGGGATATATTAAACAGGAGGAACTTTGTACAGATAACTGTGACTTATAATTAGCCAGTGTATTTTCTTTGTTTGTTATTTTTGCACCTTCAACATGTAGTGAATAACTCACAAAAAACAAAACAAAAACAAAAGAAAGCCATCCTTTTTGTCTTACAGCTTAATTTATTAACATGGGACTTGGTGCTTTTTATGGTGCAAGAACTGCAGTAGTTTGATGATATCATTGTCATAGACTTCCTGTAGAAAAAGTCTTTGTGAGCCAAAGACTAAATTGTGCTATAATGGACACTCCAACTAATTCAATTATTCAAGCATTTAAAGCTGCAGAGGTGCAGGGATCGTATTTTAATGTGTCCTTGTTACTTCTTTTTTGATTTTGTTGTGTGAAAGTGAAAATAGAAATGTTTTCAAGCACTCTTTTCTAACATGTTAAAGAATTCAAATCGTCCTCATGGCCTTATCATGTAACTGTTTGTGATTTTTAACCTAAATCTAATCAAAACTGTTAAAATTGTTTGGCGTGAAGATGTTTGATTCAAGGGAATGTTGTGATAAAAGATTATTTTTTTGTATTTTTTAATATTTTTTTACATGCACTTTTTAATTATTAGGGAATTGGACGATATGCACTTTTCTTTTTAACAATACTTTAAGTCAAGCTTGCTTTTTACTGAAGAAATTGCTAATTTAATCTTCATGCAAGATACAGTCTGAATCATTTTAAATGAGAAGGTCACACTTTGGGCTGTCTTTGATCTGTTACACAGGAAAAAATATAAATAAAGGAAGTCACATTTTTATGTTGATTGACTGTTGTGGTCTATTACAATTAGAACAGAAGCTTTGCTGTGTGTCTGCTGTCTGATACACATGGAGAGGGGCTCTGTTATGAATGAACCTGTGGACTGAATCTACCATTGCTTTTACTAATAATTAAAATCTGATATAAAAATGATATACTTACAAGTGCCTTATTTACAGCTGCCAAAAAATAATGGGACAGATGTAACTACTAGAGGGCAACAAAGGTTGTTCAGCTCAAGACTGCCCCACACTGGTACAAACCTATGGTTGGGATTGTTTGAATTGGTGTCCTGTGAGGTAGTTAGCAGTAGTCAGTACTTTACTTGCAGAATACAAGACATTTTATCAAATAAAAAAACTGAAGATTTGTCTTATTTGGGGAAGGTTAGCATCACTGAACAAAGTAATTTTCAGTCACTGTCAAACTTAGAAATGTCATGTCAGTGTGAATCAGTGCTTTGTGAGCTAATGGTAATCTTCTTTTACGCTTGAATGGTAACAGAATGTCTGGAGCAGGTTGCACTTAAACTTCAACCATTCCTTTTATAACTTCAAATTGATAGATTAGACTTCCCCATTATTATTTTTTTCTGAGAAAATAAGACAATTTACAAGAAATTAATTTTCCTGGATGTAGAGGGACAGCTAATCCATGAGAGAATGATGCATTTGGAAAAAAAATACACAAAAAAACTACAAATATTTAGTAAGGCTGAATTAAATATTTGACTAAACGAGCAATAAATCATTCTGGCATCTAGTTAAAGGTGTGTCCCTTCCCCATCGATGTATAATTGTTCCCATGTAAATAGTCTATTGTGGCGCTTGTTCCTGTTCTCTAAATAAAATTGGCCTGTTTATATTTATATAATTTTGAGGGGAAAAAAATACATAAAAGCGAATGAATGGCTTTTGTGGCTTATTTCTAAAAACAGTAGTCTGATTTTTTTTTCTTTTTTTTGCCTATTTGTTGCTGATTCTCATCTCTCAGTTTCTCTTTTTCAATACACTTTTTTTCACCATCTCAGTGACTCAGTGACATTTACACATAGCTGACCATGAGACACAGACTACTAATGCAAGTCAGTAAGGAACTGAGACCTAGTTTTATCTGCCTTAAGGAGCTGCGTTTTGCAAACATACGCAGTTATAGTTGACGGCTGCTCATAAAACTATTTTAATATTTATTTAGTCGTTTATGTCTTCAAGAAAGAACAGTCTTGTTTGCACAATGCCGTCATGTTGTCAATGAGGAACAGAAAGTTTTAGGAGGTCTTTTTGAGGAAGTGTGATTGCTCAACTACATAGGAAGGGTTGAGACCTCCAGTCACCAAAGGCTTTTCTAGCTTGTCGAAGGCCACCAGAAAAGTAATTTTCATATCTTTGGGTCCTATTGCTCGCCCTGACTGAAAGATGAGATTAATGAAGTGAAATCATTTAGCAACCACCAAGTCAAACAAACATCTTGTGGATGTAGAATTTTTTTTTTTATTCCACAATGCACCGAACAGCAGAGAGTTGTTCTAACTTTGTGTGTTCATTTCCAGCAACTACAATGTTTTCCTTCAGATATATGATATTATTACTATAAATCTTTATTTATGGCTCACTGTGTTTTTCTTTTTATTTATTTATTTTTTTAATTTCACTCAATAAAACGGGTACAAGAAGTAAACGCCTGCTTTGTGTATATTCAGTGGTCGCAGTTCTTCTATAATCAGTTGACGTTTTTCCTCTGTTTTGTGAGCTTTCTCACATGTTTACAATGTTTAAATCGATGCTATTCACAATTTAAACGGCGAAGTGCCAACATGTCATAAATCCAGACTTATTTTGAATAACATTGGAAATACCTGCGACCTTTGAACGTATCAGATACCACAGTCGGGACTTTGAACCCCGCGTAATGTCTTACAGGCTTAAATTAGGCTGCCGTGAACCACCGGCTGATCCCCAGCGAAAGTCTTAACAGATATACTGATTATGTGTGATATAGACCCAACATCACAACAACTGTTTGAGAGACTGCGTTGTTTTATTTGCAACCACCTGGAGGCAGAGCTCCTGCGAGACCAAACTCAGGTAAAAATTGCTCAAATGCCATAGCGGTAATCAGGAAGTGACTTTAAAAATACATGTATGATCTTCGTTCTCTCCTCCATTCTTCACTTTTCCAGATTTCAAACACTGTTAGATCTGGGAGGTATGTGTCTTTTGACATTTTTCTCCCCGCCCCTCGTTACCAGGGCTAAAACATTATTCAAGGCGATCATTGATTATTAATGTTTATGCATTTAGTTATGGTTTTGATAACCTTATTTTCTCTTTTTTTGTGTCTTTTTAGTGTTTAAGGCAGAGTGGTAGTTTTGCATACTTTCGTTTTAGATCCGTTTTATCCGTGGTGTGTTTTGCACATTAATTATTTTTGAAAATACTAACTCATGTTTGTAATAAAGTGTGATTTTTATGCAAAAGGATTTCACAAAAGTTGTTGAAAATCGATCTGAAGATGGAAACTGCTCAGATTTGTGTGCATTTGGGTCAGTGACATCACAAGAGACAAAAGAATCAAAATGATAAACTGCAGGTTAGAAATTATAATGGCAGACAATGATGAATTAAGGTTCAGTGTCAGGTATTTAACTCAAAGATTGATTCTGCCCACTCTAAAGTCTAAGACTCTAAACAAAACCTGGCTTTTCTCGTGTAAAAAGCGTTGTTCATGTGCAGAAACATTCGATGTCTCCTGCAGCTGAAACACTAGCTGAAAGCCCGCCATGCCTCTGTTTCGGGCTTTGGATGAACAGGCAGAGGCAAAGGCTCGGCCCAGGCGGAGGGGTCTGAGGAACACCAAGGGCACTGGAAGCTGCTGGAGGATGCGTGACGATGATCCGGTCCTTTCTCTGACACGCCTCTGCCTGTTGAGCCTCGCTGACAACATGAAGGACCTGTGGGTGAAAGACTATGCTGACAACTATCTTGATCATTATTCATTCAGATACATCATGGGGCCTTTCAACCTACTACGTAAGTGTGCGTGTGTCAGTGTTAATTGGTCACAGACCAAATGATACAAAATAAAAATGTGTAATGCTGCTTTTGTTCTAGCACAGCAAACCACAGTAAGGTGGAATACTATGCAATGCATTACCTTTTCACCAATAACCATTTCTCAAAGCAAAGGAGAATCACAAACTGAAAGATGTGATGCAGAAAGTTTGCTGCGCATCTTTTAACCTTCTTTCCCTCCGTCCTTAATATATAAGGTAGCAAGAAAAACATTATTCTTTGCCTTATCATAATTGTATTAATAAGATTAAGCTAGTTTATGCTTGTAGCTTTTTTTCTTGACTTATCAACAAACATGTCTCATTTGACTGGGATGTTCTCTTGTCTTTCCTATTGTAATCAAATGGCCAGAGAAATGGCACCAAAAAAGAGGCCGATATTTTCTATGTCTCTGATTGAAAGTGATTTACTGTAATGTCATGGACCTATGTCTGTAATCGCAGCTGGTGAGCTGGTGGAGGAGTTGACGTGGCTGCTGTCCAATAGAAAGCAGCTGTCTCGCGCAGCGCTCCACCTCCTGCTGGTCCCCCACCTCCAGGGTCTGTCTCTAGAGAGGTGTCCTGGCCTTGTGACTCCGGCATTGTGTGCTCACATTGCTGCCCGTTGCCAGGTAAGATCCAATCATTTTATTTTATCCTAATTCTACCCTCTTCGGACTTTTTACATAACATACAAATTTTTACACCTACAGATGTGGACTTGGTTTATTTCAATGATAAGCGTCAAGTATATCTTCCATATTTGTAAGTTGTATATTGTTTGAAAAGGTAATTAAATTTTAATTAGGTTTACATTACAGGTAATTAAGCTTCGCCAAGAAAGATATGACATAGAGCATAAGCACCAGAACAACAGTGTAACACAGGAGATCCTGCCAAGAGCCATTGGCTTTCTGATCAAACTGTAATTGTCAGATTCTTCGCTGTAGCCTTTGTCTGATTTAATTTGAAAAGGAAATGGGATTGTATGAATGCATACTGTTCTTTCAGATACTTCTTGAAAAGAAATGGGTTTTACTGTTCTCTCAGGGTCTGCGGAGACTGGACCTATCTGGAGCACAGCAGCTACCTCCAAAGGCCCTCTGTGAAACCATGTCCAGTCTGCCTGCTGTGCGGTCGCTGTCCTTGGCCGGCATGCCCTGTGACAGGAGTGTGATCCAAACGGTTGCCCGCCACTGCCGTTTGCTGCAGCACCTCGACGTGTCCCGCTGTCACCTCCTCTCCCCGGCTGCTCTGCTTCCTCTCGGTAGTGTGGTTTTGAATCCATCCTCGTCCTCATTTTCTTCAACCTCATCTCCTCTCCCGCTGAGCAGCCTGTTGGCTCTGGATATTGGGTTTGGGGAACAGGAAGGAGACTCTACCGTGGCAGCAGCCTATCTCCTTCTCTCTCTGCCCTGTTTGAAAAGAGTGGCCTTGGAGGGCCTTGGACAGGCCTGCCGTCTCATTGAGCAGAGGGAATTCAGCCAGGCAGATGAATTTGCTGACAGGGAAGGTGTTTCCAGCCTGCACCTGGTGTGGAAGGAAAGGATGCTCGGGCACAGCTCGGAAAGTTGGATGACGATGAGAGGGGAAGAATCTAGTGATAATGGGGAGGTGGAGAGCCCATTATTGGAAGAGGATGGCTGTGGCTGTGAGGAAGATTTAATCAAAGACGACTGGCCTTTATGCTTACAAATCCAAACAGAGGATAGGATGCAGAATTTGTCCAAGTCAGGCCTGATCCTGCAGCTTCAAGACGTTAAAGGTGTAACCTGTGAGTCTCTGGGGAGTTTAGGAAATTTGTGTCCAGGTTTAAACTCTTTATCCATGAACATAGGCAAACAGGGGCCACTATTAACTGCTGGTCTCCAGACGTGGGCAGGCCAACTGCGCAATCTTTCATTTATTTACTCTGGCCCACTGGTAGATCTTCTTCCTGCCTTGCAAGTCGCAGGTTGCTCACTGACCTCTCTGACGTTGGAGGGGGTGAAAACCAGCCCTGACACTCCACTACTAGAGCTCATCAGAGTCTGTCCCAGACTCAGAGACCTCCTTATCTCTGCTGAGCCTCCTGCTACACCACAGAGCGAAACCAATGACAATCACCAGGATGATCAAGATCTCCCGAGGCTGCCAAATCTCCGCTCTCTCAAGCTCAGGTAATTTCAACTTTGAATCCCTGCTCTCAAGTTTTGCCTGTTTCTAACAACACCAAATATAGTCATGACAAAGCTACAACACACTATGCTGCCAGACACAGAAACAGTGTGTTGACGTCATAATGGAAAACAGAAAGATAGAAACGCCTTAGCTATGTTTTTTGTTTGCTTGGAGTGGTAACCAAATGTAATTCTGCCCTCAAACATTGTTCAAGCAAAACAAACCAAAAAAGCATGTAAATATTCTGGCGGCATAAATTAATAACAGGAACTTAAAAGGAGGTGCGATATTTTGTTTTCACTTAATGTCATATCCTTGATTTTTTTTTCTTTTCTCAGAGCAAATTTTTAAAATTTTGATTGTGATATGTGACACCACAACCAAGGAAGCCAAAAATATTAACTCCCCAGTATGACTTGCAAAACAAATTATACCCCTTGTATTTTTTTTTTCATCTATTTTCATGTTAGAACCATAGACATAAACTTTATTGGGATTTTAGTGATGGATTAACATAAAGTAGTGTGAGTACAAAGTTAAACATGGCCTTAAATATGTGAATCGTTATTCAGACCGCCTGAATCCATAAAGTGAATACATTTCACTTTTATTAAAACTGAAAATAATTTAGAACATTTTGCTAAAAGCCTTGCACACCTAGAGAGCAAAGTTTTTTCTTTGATTGAAAGTAAAGTGTCTGTAAATAGCTATTACTCAAGGCTTTCAACAAACCGTCTTTTGGATTTGGGTCGGGAGTGTGACTGGGCCATTTGAACTATGCTCTCATCTAAAAATTACACTTTTTTTCTGACTGAATGAAGGTCAGTGTCCTAATGGAAAGCGAACCTCTTTTTTTGTGGCTTCTAATTTGTCTTTTAAGAGTACCTCATGTATCTTTTCAGTACAGTAGCTATCATACTACAATGACAAAGCACCCATGAGGAAATGTTGATGAAGTCATTGCAGTACTTTGGTTCAGATATTTTGATTGTACACAGCAGTACAATTTCAGGCTCATACTAACGAATTGAAAAAGTGATTAGAACTACCAAGGCAATCAATAACACTAATTGTTTTCTTCTGCTGCTGTTGTCTCTCGAATCTCTGAAGTTTCTCCTATGAGCACAACCAAATGAAGCCCTTGATGTCCTGGATGTCCCTAACGGAAGTGATCAGGTGTCTCCTGATTGGCTCACCTTTACTCGAGAATCTCTCTTTGATCTCCTTGCCGTGCCCTTTGAACCTCGTCATACAAGACACCCTGCGTAGTGTGAATCTGGACATGAATCCCAATGCCGATTCCTCTGGCTTACGGCCACTGCCGCTTGGAAGGGTCGAGCATATTGATCTGCTGAGAACAGATGTGCAGATGAGCACTGTGAAGAGCGTGATGCAACTGAGCAAGAGGCTCAAGTACATGGACGTAAGTTACTGCTGGCGAATCAGTCAGCGTGAGTGGCTCGACTGCAAGAAGTTCAGACAAGTCAAAGTTGTCTGGGTGTAATAAAAAGAGGGGAGGATTTTAACACTAAGGCGCTTCTGAAAGGGAATTGAAATACACTTTTACATGTTAAATTGTATATTTATCATAGTCTCTTCCGATAATGTATGTTTGTTTTTTGTAACAAACTGATTTTTTTTAATGCACTTTTATGGAAAGCTGTATTTTAATAACCAAATTATATTAACTTTTTAACGCTCTGAATATAATTGTGACACAACTGAAAAACAAACATGAAAAGTGTTTGAGAATCATATGGAAATCACCATATTGATTTCTTTTTATGAAACTATGACAATGAAGTCACATTGGATTGAATGCAACAGTAATTTGTTTTTGTGTTTCATGTACATTTTTATTTGTATTTTAGTTTTTATTGATAAAAACAAATTTCCAGGAGTCCCTGGTTGTAGTACATTGCAGTAACAAACAAATATGACACTATGACTTATTTAGAGACAAAAAACCCAGAACCTGAGATTGGTATAATTGAAACCCTAATGAGGTACAGCATATATTTCTGTTGCACTGTTATAAATACAGGTTTAATGAAAACTGGAGATGTGGAGCAAGTAAAATACTTTACCCCCACCCAATTGTCCTGTCTAAATATTACTTTTGGGAAAGGAAATCAAGCCTAATATTTTCCTTATTAGGGATTGTTCTAATATAAGTCCAAGTTAAAATCTGCTTTTAACAAGACAAGTATTATCAAGTATTACCAGTCATTATTTTTGCCCCATTTATCATTTGGAATTTGGTAACACAGGGTTAGTTTTATACTGCATCCAAATTAAAGCCATGTATATACATGAAAACTCGATAGATTCAACAATACAATACAGTAACACTTAACATTTCTAAGTTAAAATGCACTGAACTCTCCGCTACAGTATCTTTTTTCTTAACTGAAATATGTTCACCCAGAAGGACTTCCAGCATGGCAGTGGCTTGTTTCTAAACATACATATGATTCAATACATATATCCTGATAAAACAAATTTTTAAACAAGAAAGATTGTTGAAGTGAAATGTTCCCTCTCTGTTTTGATATGACTTGTTAGTAAATAGACTCCTAGTATTTTTGAATGTAATTCTTATTAATTATGTGCCTGTATAGCATGCAGAAAAAAATATTCCCAGCCTTGTAAATTTAGTGCTAACTTTAAACCTGGTGAAATGTAATGACTAGTGTTCCAACTGCTTCACATCCATCCATCCATCCATCCATCCATCCATCCATCCATCCATCCATCCATCCATCCATCCATCCATCCATCCATCCATCCATCCATCCATCCATCCATCCATCCATCCATCCATCCATCCATCCATCCATCCATCCATCCATTCATTCATTCATTCATTCATTGTCCCCCTTGTATTTGAGATCAGGTTGCAAATATTTTTCCTTGCATTCTTCTGTGAGGGATCCAAAGCAACTTTTAGGCAAAAAGGGATAGTGTTCCTTCATCGTGTTCTGGTACTACAAATTCCACCAGCAGGGTGAAATTAAGGCACATTTGTTCTCCTAAATGGGACGTTCACAATTGTTTGTAACATCTTTTCTGACACCCAATGGTAAACATGCATGTATACTCTTGTTGAAGGTTTTACATTTAGGCGCAATGTACTTCTCTATATAACTGCATTTTTAAAACTTTATTTTCAATAAGTAGTGTTTCAGCTTTCCAACTTTGTATGTTAGATGAAGTCTCCAGCCCATTTTTAAACAGAAATGTAATGTTAGATATGCCAATTTGTGTCTTACAAAAAATAATAATAATAAAAACTTAAAATGCAATGCAACACAATCAAAATGATAGTCAAAAGAGTTTGCACTTTTTAATTTGATCTGTCATCATTTTAATAAATACGTTTAATTATAAAATGTATTGAAAAAACGTAGACATACAACAGAATAAAAGTAGGAATTTTCTCACGATTAAGTTCTGAAGATGTGATCATTAAACTTGGAACAGTTTGTACCTGCAAGGCTTCCGTATTTCTTGTTCGACACAAGGGCAGTTCACAGCCGAGAATGTGCGCTTGTTTTTCCTCTCCAATTGGGCGGACCTTGTAGCAAAACACGTCTCAACTGGAGTCTGTGGAAGGAAAGAAAACATACTGGTTACAAGCTTATGAAATAAAGTATACAGTAAAGTATTTGACGTTAGCTAAAAACTCCTAATGCTGTTTTATATAGAATCGGCTTATAACCAAGCTGCGCTCCAACGAAAGACTGTGTACGCGGACATAAAACCAAGCCCACCTTTTACACTTTACACGTCACTTAGCAAAGCGGTGCTGCTCGTTTAATGTAAGTTAGCCAGCGGTGAGCATCTGGATCATGTTTCCTGGAAAATACGGTTGTCTTTGTGAGTACCTATGGCTCTAACACAATTCATGGACATATAAAATCATTGCCATTGACGTTACGGTCAGTTAAATTATAAATTTTCGGCGCTTCTCCTTGTTCTTTCCGCCTATCATACTGTAACCTACGAGACTGAATATAAAAAACGCCTGCGTTGTCTAACATTAATAACTGCTTACTTGAGATTTAAATGTGTTTCTTTTCATCTCCTTTCCATTTCGAGCTTTTGTTTTTTCTTCAATAGCTGAATATTATACAATCACGCCTATTTATCCCTTTAGAAGCATAAACTGGGGATCAGTTTGATGTGTTTGTGGGCCCTTCACCTGTACAGTTGTTGGTGAAGGCTTTAAAGTTGTTATTTCTGCTCTTTCCTCAAGGCCACAATGATGGATGAACCAGGGATTATGGAGCTGTGGAGTCTGACAAATCTGCTTCCTAGAGAAGTTTGATGAATAATAAATCCAAAGGACTATTTACACCATGGGAAGGTAATTAAATGATTGGCCTGTATTTATCTGTAACTTAAGGGCTACTTATATCCCTTGACTTTAATGAAAATGATTAGATCAAATGTAAATCTTGCATCCCTTTAAGTTGTAAATCTTAAAGGGCCGTAAATATTTTTTTAATGAGTCACGGGTTCATTTATTATAGTCCAAACTGTGTGAGCAGTTCTTTTGTGAGGATGACTGTTCAGAGATTGTTCAAAGTATTGATTTGTAGGGCCTTAGTAGAAATGGACTTTGTTTTTTCAGATTTTCATTTGTAAAACATTGAAAACCATGTTCCCATTTCCATTATCTCTATTATAAGCTACTCAAAATCCCAATAAGATGCACAGAGGTCTCTGGTTGTCAAGTGGGAAAATGAGCATGGTTGCATTTTCAATATAGTCTCTGCAATATCCAGACATGGAGTGTTGAGGCTCTTACATTTTTATCTGTGAACAGGATCGGCTTTTCATGCCTTTTCCCAGCGTCATGGCACTTCAGCCTGTCATCCCAGGTTCTTCCTCGGCTTCTGACTCCTTCCCTCCGACAACTTCTCTTCATCGGCCTGGTGCTCTGCCTCATAGGACTGCTCTACCTGTTGTTCGTTGCTGTAAATACACACACCAGCTGGATTGGAGAAGAAAACCCTTTCCACCGGTACTCTAAACTAGGATCTGGCACTCTGTTGTGGATCTCCTAGAGCTGGTATCAAGTTAATCTTAGATATTTGTCACTCATAAGGCACCTGGCGAGAGTTACTGACTTGGATGCGACGGATACAAGCAATCCCAACCTGAACTACGGCCTGGTGGTGGACTGTGGCAGCAGTGGCTCCAGGGTGTTTGTGTACTGCTGGCCCCGGCACAACGGTAATCCCCGTGAACTGCTGGACATACGGCAAATGCGAGATCAACACCGCAAGCCAGTAGTCATGAAGATCAAGCCTGGTAAGAAGCTTATTGATCAACGTAAGGAAGAAAATGCAAGCGTATTTTGCAACTTACTTTACTAATGTATTGTAAAAGTACTGTACAAAATGTGGTTTTATTGCATAATACAATTGAATATTATGTTTTTTTATTATGAATAAATGTTTTTCTTCTTCATGTACTTTTCCTAAAGGTATAGCTGAATTGGCTAAAACACCTGAGAAGGCCAGTGACTACATAGATCCACTTCTAAGCTTTGCAGCTCAACACATCCCCAAGCACAAGCACCAGGAAACTCCTCTGTACATCCTGTGCACAGCGGGAATGAGAATCCTTCCAGAGAGGTAAAAATGGGACTATTGAAATGTTAGTGTGACAAGAAAAAAAGAAGATTATTTAAAAAAAAAAAAATTTGTTTTGTGTTTGTTTTTTTTTCAGTCAACAAGAAGCCATTCTGGAAGATCTACGCACAGACATCCCAGTTCACTTCAACTTCCTCTTCTCTGATTCCCACGTCGAGGTGATTTCTGGAAAACAAGAAGGTAACTTTAGAAACTATAGAGCGATACATCATTTTAACATCACTGTAACTTTAAATATACTCAAACATTTACACAATAACTTAATATTTAATATGTTTGTGTTTCAGGTGTCTATGCATGGATTGGAATAAACTTTGTCCTGGGGAGGTTTAACCATGTGGATAATGGTGAGAATTTACTCAAGTGTACCACTTCAGGGTGACCTAATTTGGTTAAGCCTATTAATTGTGTGACACACCTTAAGTGTGTGACATCCCTTCTCTCTGCTGTCAATTTTCCCAGATGGGGAAGCTGTGGTGGAGGTGAATGTTCCCGGCACCGAGCGTCAGGAAGCGCTGATGAGGAAAAGGACAGCGGGTGTCCTGGACATGGGTGGTGTCTCCACACAGATTGCATACGAAGTGCCCAAAACTGTAAGCTTTGCTTCTCCACAACAGGTTATTATCTCCAACCAATTCTGTTCTTGTTTCGTCTTGGTGGCTTATGCTTTGTTTTTCTCCCCCACTCCCTCTCCAATCTCCGTTTCTCCTTGGTTATCACCTCTCTGAACCATTTTGTCCTGTGGAGCTGATCCGCTCTCCATCCATCACTGTTGAAAGCGTACTGTATGACCCTCCCCATGTGGTTGGAGTATTGAGAACATCAACTTATGTTTGGATACATTTCTTTTATAAGATTTATAAGTGCTAGATGTTACAACTGCACATAACTTTGTCTTTACAGTGGCATTATTTTTACAGTATTCATTGTACGCTGATTTTTTTTCAGATTTTGTTACTGGAGTGGAAAAAAAACGATTCATGATTTTTATAATATTGCACATATAAAAAGACTAAAGATAGACATCAGAACAAATTATTAAACACGGTTTGAGAGGTATTTGTTTAATTTATCTATGTTTAAAGTCATTAGTTGGTTTGTTTATAAGGAATTTTTTTTTGTGATTGGGTATTGTGTTTGATGTTCTGACAAACCTCTGAGGTCTTCCGGAACATCTGTACTTTTTCAAATGAAGATTCATTTACACTCCAGTTGAGTATTTATTCATTTGTAATTGACTTTTAAAGCCAACTGGTTGCTCTTGGTTTTATTTAGGTGTATCAGAGTAGAGGGGATTGAATACAAATGCCAACCTCATGTTTCAGATGTTATTTGTGAAATATTTTGAAAATCATGCATTATTTTGCTTTCACTACATAATCATGCACTACTTTGTGTTAATCTATTACTTAAGATATCAATAAAATCTTGAAGTTCTTGGTTGCAAGACTCCAAAATATAGAAAAATGAAAGAGCCGTTATATCTCTCTTTCTCACTTGTTCGTCTTCCACAGGAGGAAGTGGCCAAAAACTTACTTGCAGAATTCAACCTGGGATGTGACGCTCACGTCAACGATCACGTTTATCGTGTTTACGTGTCCACCTTTCTGGGTTTTGGAGGAAACGCTGCACGCCAAAGATATGAGGAGAATCTCATCAGAAAAACTGCAGCTCGAAACAAGTGAGACGCATAGTTTTTCACTTTATTCTGCTTTCAACCTCCCTGAATTGTTCTTGAGTATTCTGTGCTCAGAGCTACAAGCGTTAACATCTTGGTTTGTTGACCTTTCTAGACTTTTGGGTGAGCATGCCGGCGAAACAGCAGAGTCTCCCCTGCTTGACCCTTGCCTCCCAACCGACCTGCTGGATGAGATCGGACCGTCCACACAGAGGCTCCACCTTCGGGGGACGGGAGACTTCGACGAGTGCAGACAGATTCTCCAGCCATTCCTCAACAGAACCAATGACACCCAAACATCCCTGAGCGGCATCTACCAGCCAGCGATTGACTATAGCAACAGCCAGTTTTATGGCTTTTCAGAGTTCTACTACTGCATGGAGGACGTGCTGCGTATGGGCGGGGATTATAATGCTTCTAAATATGCCCGAGCCGCCAAGGTAAACAATGTAGGAAAACTTATTGATAGTGTCTAAAAGGGTGCATCTTTTTTTGCCCAGGCATATAAATTGTATAGTTTTAATCCTGGAACAGAAGTGGGTCTAGAAAGATTAAACTACAGTTTAAGGTGGACAAGGTTTTTATAGCATAGTTTATAATTAAACTAATCAATAATTTGTGTATTTAAATAGTGTTGCAATGCTCTTCTCCCTCTATACCGTGCTTTTGTTCAATTCACAGGGTTACTGCGCCACCCAATGGAAGACACTGAAGGAACGCTTTGATTCTGGTCTTTATGCGTCACATGCAGATTTTCACCGGCTCAAGTGAGTTGCACACAGATTTATGAGATGGTTTCTCAAGGCAGCCTGTCGGTGATTAAAAACATGACTGTTGGCTTTATTCAAATGTCTGCAGGTACCAGTGTTTTAAATCAGCGTGGATGTATGAAGTTTTGCACATGGGTTTCTCCTTCCCAACCAATTACAAAAACCTGAAGACAGCCTTGCTGGTCTACGATAAGGAGGTCCAGTGGACTCTTGGAGCGATTCTTTATAGAACGCGGTTTCTCCCTTTGAGGTGAGATAGAATGTCTTTTACAATTACGCTTCTCTTAGTTTGGATTTTTATCGCTCTGAGGTAATTTTATCTCCTGAAGTCCAGTCTGGTTGAGCCAGTTTTTCACTGAATCTAAATTGTCACAAGAACAAATTCCTACTTTATACGTGTAAGAAGAGAAATTATTATTAATGGAAATTGGCTGCTAACAGGCATATATTTAAAAAGAGATGAAGAAAAATATGATTGTTCAAAGCTTGGAAATAGGTCAATGTGTTGCTTGAATAATGACTTCAGGTATTCGACGAATTAAAGAGTTAATATGACAGAATTAGTGGCCTGTAAAGACTTGTTTTATTATCACGTTCCAAGCTCACCTGGTAGTGGCGTTCTTGTTTTCTTTTCCTTCAGGGACATCCCACAGGAGAGTCTGAAAGGAGCGCACTCTCACTGGCGTCACAGCTTCTCCTTTGTCAACAACCACTACTTGTTCCTGGCTTGTTTCTTTATCGTGTTGCTCTCCATTATACTGTATTTGCTGAGGCTTCGCCGCATCCATCGCCACGTGGCGCAGCGCTGCACTCCCTCCTCTGTGCCGTGGTTGGAAGAGGGCCTCGGCTCACCCTCTCTCCCAATCAACCTCTGAACTTTGGGCAGCATGAACAGGTTTCTAACTTTCCGACGTTGAATTCCACTCAACTGTCGGACTGTCCAATTTTTTTGGTGATCTGCTCGCGTATCTTACAAGCTGTTGAGCAGGATTTAGACATTTGGATAAATGAGGAACATTTTTCATATATCTTTGGATGAGAGAGACTATATTGCTTTTATCATTATTTTGCCTGCAGCTGCCTTCAGGTGTTTTTCTTTTAAAATAATAAACAAACTGGTACTTTGCTTTGTAGTTGATTCACACCCTAATAGATGGACTGTACTTTGGCTTTCACCACACTGGATGAATATGTCAGATGTTTTAAGTTTAATGTTTCTTTTGCCTTTCTCTTTGCCTTTGTCATGTGCATTTTTTTTTCTATTTTTATTTAATTTCATTTGTTTCATCTTACTTTTTTTCCATTTCTCATTGTTGTCAAATAGAAAAAGCACTCTCTACAAAAACTCAAATGCAATATGATTTCTCCATTGCATTGGAAGCACTTTGCACTGCAGTTAATCTGCATGGCCTAGATGAAGCAACTTTTTTGGGTGTATTTGTCCCTAAACTTTTCTACATATTTATGTTGGAAGATATGAAGCCTTTCACAGCTGTAATAGTGCAATACATGTCTTGTCACTGCTGGGGAAATCTTTGAAAACCTGTTTGCCATCCTAACGAGAGAATCAGTCCGCCTGCTGAAACTGTTGCTCCACTCTTTGGTGGGTATTTTTACTTTAATTGGGGCTTCATTTTCTGAAGCCATTATAGCACTACTGTGAGAAAATTGTAAATCAGAGCGTGTGTTATTTAAATAAAAATGGTCTACTCGAGTGTTTTCACAGGCGAATGTGAAATAACTGTTGTGACATTGCAATACAGGAATAATAAAAGTTTTATGAGATACTCGCTGATTTCATGAGAAGGAAAACAGAATAATTTGTGTATCTGTACAATGGAAACCAGACATTTTAACTCCTGACATTATGTCTCACTGGTTGACATTAAAGCAGACTACTGTCCTTAAGGTTTCACGTCAGTTAGTGTCATTATTTTTTTTTCTTGCTAAATGCAGGAATAATTAACTTTTGAGAATTTTTTTAAAAACCTTTCTTCACAATCTGAAGTCTACATATTTTCTTTGAAACTGTAGTGACACATGCACTTATTAGTGATATAATGCACCTCAGTTTTAAACAAGTATAGTGTTAGAAATGCAACTATTTGCTAGCTTTTTTTTTTTTTTTCCCATGCTGTTCATAAAGTTTAAAGTTCTTTCACTGAGAAGCCAGACTGACAAAAGTATCCAGTGGCTGTTTCAAGGATAGAAGCACTGCACTGCCCCTCCCCCACATACTGCTGCTCACTGCTCGTTTCTCCTGAAGTCTTCACATTACGACCAAAATTAACATGTTATTTTATCAGCAGTTTAAATAATTACACTTGTATTTTATTTTTTTTATTATTTTTTGTTCAAATGTTTTTGGTTTTTTAATTAAGGTCATACTGAGTATCTATTACTGCTCAGAGTGACAAAACAACAGGATAAGTAAATATTTTCTTCAGAATATCAGACATGGTGTTTTGAAGGAAGGAATTAAAAAATAAATGAGACTAAATACATCAATAGAAAAATACTGAAAAACTGAACCGACTGACTCAAGAATGTCAAGCAGCATAAAAAGTGTGATTTGAGAGTTTGTGAGCGTAAATGTGCTATGTGGATCTGCACTGAAACGTCTCTTTCTCACATGTAGATAAACACATGCAAATATGCTTTATCTGCTTTAACACCCCTTGTGACTGCAGGGAAGAGCTTGAGTTCTTGTTGTTTTAAACTTCTTCATTGCTTCAATAGAATTGAAAAATCTTTACCTGTCACTATGAATTATATAAATGCGACTTTTTACACTGAAATTATTTTCGCCTTTTTCTTATTGCCTTTTATTTTCAAGCATTTATTTAAATGTCTGGTTTGTGATGTTGAGAATTTCTCTGTGGGGAAATAAAGTATTTCTGGTTTTCTGATCAAATAAATCCTGAAGTCAAGAATTTTGGACACTTGAAGGAGCAAATGTGTGCTAATGCCCAATGGATCTTCAATCTTCTCAAAACAAGCAGGAAGGATTTATTTCCCAAGGCACCAAATGGAACTAAAATATAACCAAATATTAACAAAAGCGTAATGCTTCTCATTCAAAAGCTGGAACTAAAGCATAAATGTGGCGTTTCTTTTTGATAAGACTTTGTTTTCCACTTCAGGCTGTTTCATGTGACTGTCCACATGATTTGCCGCAGGAGTGATGTTTGCAGATACGTTTGTTTGGACTGAGGAGGCTTTCAGGTGAGGGGTTTGGAAAAGCTTTGCTCATTTTTATCGTTTTCTTCCAAAAGCTTGCAATTGGTTTGAAAAAAGAATTGGATGAAGTAGGTTAATAATATAATAAATATAATCTAATATATATCATATCATATCATGTATTGACGTTACCATTTAAACCATCCTAGCAGCCCAAACATAAAAAAATTTTCTCGATTTTCCTCACTTTCTAAAGTGTTGCATGTGTGAAACTATTTGTGTTATGCAGATTTATTCTGTTTTGCTTTTTTTTTTTTTTGCCTGTTTTTGGAAAGAAAGAAACAGACAAAAATGAATGTGTCATATCCTTGAATGATACATTGCCAGTTGTTCAAAAAAACTTGGTTGCTACTTATATGAGTCTATGTTGGTTTGAATAGGCTTTTTTCTCTTTATAATTTAAATCACTATAAAAGTAATTACCTTTGTTTGATACAAAGAAAAAAAAGTCTCATCTGGAAAAAGCCAAAAAAATAATAAATAAATAAAAAATCTAAAAGGAGACAGCATCCTAAGTAGAGTATCTGTAGATTTCTGTTAGCCATGGTTTGCCAGAAGTAACCTCCCCTTTTAGATAGGGCATTTTGAAGAAAAGATTTCTCCATATTATTGAACAAGTGTTATCCGGCGGTGAGACCACGCCTGCTTATCTACTGGACCAGGACTCGCGGTTCTGTCACGTTTATTCAAAACTTCGGAGGCTCAAATTGTTTCACCGGCTGAGCTTTGAAGTGGAACAGGAATTCAACACAGAAACTTGTCATTGGTCGCTCAGAAAAGAGCCCGCCTATTATCTCACTATGTGGGATTTGATTGGTTCGCAGTACTGTCAGCCACGCCTCTCGCCAGCGACGTCCTACGGGCGCTGTTGGAACTCCAGTAAGTCGTGGTGATGTTGTGGTTATCCATGCCGCCGACACATTCTCCAATCATTCTCTTCTACGGAAGGCCACCTGTTGCGAGAGCTCCCCACGCATGGAGTTAAGCTCGGACCGTGCGGTGGCAAGGCTGGAGATGTCGCAGATCCAGAGCGAAGACGGGGAGCCTTTTAATGAGAGCAGCGACGGGGAATACGAGAGCTTGCCGCCTCATGTCTCCGTGACGACCCACATGACAGCCGGAGCCGTGGCAGGCATACTGGAGCACACGGTGATGTACCCCGTGGACTCTGTCAAGGTAACGCCGTCTCAGAGGCTGCCCGGTTGTTTCTGCTCTCTCCCCGGCGGCTCAAACACTAACCAGCCGGAAAGGAAACGCCAAATGCGGGGAGGATGTGCTAACAGGCGTTAGCTGTGAAGTCTCGGGACTGCCCATCCTCGGTTAGCCTCGGTGTTAGCTCATCCAATTACAGCAGCCTTGTCGCTTCAAATAGACTGACCGAACAAGTTAAACTGGTCAGCATAGTAAGTCAGAGTAGAAACAAAATGTTTCCCTTAAACTGAAAAAGTTTGGTTCTTTTTTTTTTTTGCTTTGCTACTTAACTTTGCTAACCTACTCAGTGATCACTTTGTCATTAAAAAGAGGACATTCACCAAGTTTTTATCTAAGCTATTTCTCAGTATTAAAAGCAGATGTAATGCTAGCCATGCGATTGTGAATCTACACAAATAAATAATGTTAACCATGTTTTTCTCTGACATTATTCAGGCCAGGTGAAGGTCGGGGTTTTGTTGGGTCAGATGTCAAGCTTTGAATGAAAAGCTCCAAGCACATCTCTGTCACTCCCACTTTTAAAGCGTAAATACTACCTTATTGCCTTGCATCTTTGTCTGTGCACTTTCACAAATTGCACGCAATGAATCTCTTGTAGCCACAAGATTAATTGACTGATATTCAAATTTTAATCTTATCTCAATTAGGCTGTGAGCTTTACTTAAAGAGTGCAGGATTAGAGGACCAAACCATCTCAATCTTCTCGTGATCTCTTCACTTAGAGAATTAGGTTCATCCTTATTATCGTAGCTCACAGACACAGTAAGTAACTCTACAAATCAGATTCAGCATAGTGTTAAAACACTCGCCAAACATGAGCAAAGCTGGAGAAAATCTGTGAACAATAATGACTAAATGCAAGCAGTAATGAGAGATTATTTGATTTTGACATTAAACAAGATTGTGCTGTTTATTTATGTTTTTTACTAAAATTTGGTATATTTGTTATTGATCCATTCCATAATATATTGATTTATTAGAAATGTATGAATTATCTGCAGTCATTTCAATCATATGCAAGTCTTCTATAAATGTAAATGTTTTGACATTTTTTATATACTTGTTAATCAAGCACAAGAAGACATTTGAATACATCAATACTTCTATTTTTATTGCTTAAAAGATGAAGAAACCAAGCACCAATTAATCAGCCCCAGACTGAAATTGGCCAGCTTTCCATTGATCAGCTCTAAACTGGTGATCAGCAGGTTCAATAAATAAAAAATCAGTTGGGGGCTGTTTTTTTTTTTATTTTATTTTATTTTTGTACCGTTCATGCAAATTAATCAGAACGAAATTCTCCCACAATTTTTGGTCTGTAAACAATGTGTATTTTAATTCTGACTTTTGTATTTACTAAAACTTGTATGCATAAATTAGCATTCATTCTTTGTTGGCTTCAAAATTACAACTCTTATGAAAAGTGTTTGGCTTTAAAAAAATAAAAAAATAAAAATTGAAAATCAGTATAGGCCAGGATTGTCGTCAATAAAGCTGTATTCATAGAGTTCACTGGCTTTTTATGGGTAATATTGCTCTCTTTGCTCCAAACATTTACTTGCAATAGAAAAATTCAAGTACTCTTTAATCCTCTAACTATATTAGCAGTGATATTTTATTTTAGAAAAAATAAAAAAGAGGGCTAAAAGCATGAGTCATTGTAGTTAATGCTAAGAGAATTATTAAATAAAATAATAATTAGACCAATAAAATGGGATTAAAATTGTATTTTTTTTAATTTCATGAACAAATAGTTTATTATTTAAATAATTATGATTTAAATCAGGTAGAGGAATATTACTTTTTCTATTTTTATGAAACAGTTGTGGAGCTTACTAGTTGTGTAAATCCAAACATAAGCAGTCGTACATGAGTGTTATACAAATATTTATTAAGTGACTGAATGAAGCTAAATTTGAAAAGATCTGGTTTTTTTTTGTTTGGGGGGGGTGTGGGAGGGGCTTTTTAACCAGTAATCCATTTAGAGAGTGAATGTTTGGTAAGTAAAGCGCACATTTAAAGTGGATTGAAATGACTATGTTCTTTGAAGCTTGTTAAAAATTGGCTAAAGGAAGGTAAATTGCAAACGGTTTTTGTGAACTTTGCTCCTGCAATCCGCCACATTGTTGGAGAACAATGTGGCGGTGTTTCTGAAAAATTTGGCTATGGCGACTTTAACTGGTACGCGTTCACTTAATTTGTGTCCCATTGGCATATGTGTAAATAGTCAGATGAGAAGCCTTTATTGCCCAATGCTGTGGTGTCATTTCCTCTAGAGGTTTCCAAGTTTTCACAAGCACTTTAAAGACTCAACTGCTTTTTTGGTTAAATCTGGAACGTTTTTGTGTTACCCAAGTTTTCAAGTTTCATCTGATCTAAACTCATGACACGAAGAGTCATTTCCATCCCGTCTTGGTAAATTACTAGACAACTTCTTAGAAGTCAAAGTACTTTTTCTTTTTAAATAATTACATTTGAGGAAGTATTGACTTTACGTCAATAGGTTTAGCTTGATGCCCCTCTGGTGCTTTTATTTGTTAGTCCCTCTCAGTCCTAACTGTGAAACTCAAGCAGCTCGAGAAATTAGGGAGTAGCCTGTATTAATGTTAGGAGGGGCATCTTATCAGTCTCATGCAAGTTAGGAATCAGACTCATGCAGGAAAGGGTGGGTATCTCTAATTGCTTCTTTGTGCTATTGATTAGTAAACAGTCATAGTACCAGAACTGACAAAGCTGAAATGATAGCACACAGTCAGTCGAATTGTGTTTCCCCAAAAGGGACTGTTTCCCTTTTGGTTAAATGTCTTGTTTAGTTGCTTCAGCTGATTGTAACAGATATGTCGAAATAATGCATGCAGTGTTGAATGAGACCTAAAAATGAAACAGATAAAAGTTGAATTAGTAATTAGTTTTGTTTTAAAATACCGGTATTTGCCAAAAAGTACACAGTGAACTTTTTTCATTTTAAGAATTACTCCTTAGGTCAACTCCCTATTAGGTTTTATTGTTAAATCAGCCCTTTCTAAACTAGATCCTGATGCATTCTTAGACCATGGCTGCTGCGCACTGCCAGCAAGCTGACTGAAAGTTTTTCCTCATACTTGCAGAAAAGACCAGTTTTAGGCTTCAGAATATTTACGTTGGTGCAAAACATGGAGAGTCAAGCTGTGGAAACCAAAAAATTGCCCCCCTTCACCTTAAATATTGTTAAGGTGAAGCTAATTTAAAACTACAGTTGGTAAGCTCCAAGCCACATCTCTGTCAGTCAGCTGACCCAGACCGGCTACCTGATCAGACTAAATACCCAGCCAACACTCTTACTCTTTACTCTGGAAAGAACACAATGGCAGAAAGGTATAAGCACTGAAACAACTACTGCATTTGGGAGATTTCTCATTCTGTTTTTCAGCTTAAGGCTGTTTTACCAAAACTTATACAGAATATTATTACAACTCTAGCAATCAATATGTTACGTTCTTGTAGCTGTGCTTGGAATAATTGTATTTAAATAAAAGAAATAAGATCATGTTTTGTGTTTTTTTTTTTTTTAATACATAAATACCACATGATTATTGTATTTTTACTCAATCTTATCATGCAGTGAGATTCACATACATATGCTGCATCACAGCTTGAGTTATTGTCCTGTTTATAAAACATTTTGGGTTTGAAGTTAATGATGGACAAAGATGTTAAGCTGTGGATCTGGGTTTAACTTATTATTTTGTGGCTAACAAAATAAAAATATGACAGATCTAAAGCTGTGCCCTAAGTTATGTGTATTTAATGCAGAGTAATAAAGTTCGGATTAGAAAAATATAAATGTTATTCTTTTTTTAAAATAGGTAATTAGAGATGGGCCCAATGCTGCAGAGAAACAGTGAAACATCCCTTTACTGATGAATAGGGACCAGCTGTGCTTTTTGAGGAATTTTGGAATATTAAAAAACAAACAAACAAAAAAAAAACACCAGATCGAAAAACTTAAGCTTGAAAAGCATACAATTCTGTTCTTTTGGTATTTCTTGACATTAAAATTTGTACACAATTTAAAAAAAATAAAAAATACATTCGGAATTAGTCTCTAAGTTTTGTGCTTTTGCTGTGGTACCCTTATAGCTGACATTAATGAATGCTAAACAGAATATCTACATGAAACACGCTATTGCCATTTTCTCCTCACATTACGAGATGAGAATCCAGACAAGCATGTGCCTTGTTAGGGACATGCCTCATTTGCAGTCCCAAAACCTCAACTTATGACTCAGATTGCCAGGTGATGGGTGGCTAAGTTTCCAAAAATCGTCATTCAGAGGGAATGTAATTGATATTTTATTGTCGACCCAAAGGAAGGAAGCTCAGTAGAACATGCTGACAAAGACAAACTTGGCCAATCTGCTGGGCCGGGCCCAAATCTCCCTGCAAATTAAAAACATGCTTTGTGCTCACCGGATAACTCGGCATGGTGGAGTTAAACAAAGAGCTGCCACAGCCTTCCGGTCCAGAACCTCACTAACGCCAAGCGCGCGTTCAGTCAGAGCAACTAGAGCGCGCTACACTTGATTTACAAAAAAAAAAAAATATATATATATATAATTATTCAGGATTTTTAACATCTTAAAAATGATACATTCAGTCCGCAATAAAACAAGGCAGTCAACTAAATCCTGTAACAAAATCCAACCTAAGAAAAAGAAAATGTTATAATCATAGAAGAATTTATATTAAATGATTTTATTTCACAGACACGAATGCAGAGCCTGCAGCCGGACCCCAACGCACAATACAAGAGCGTGTATGAAGCCCTGAAACGGATCATCAAGACGGAGGGGATCTTCAGACCGCTGAGGGGCCTCAACATCACCATGATGGGAGCGGGGCCCGCCCATGCCCTCTACTTTGCCTGCTACGAGCGCGTCAAGCACTCTCTGAGTCACATCATTCAGAGCGGAGGCAACAGCCACATAGCCAACGGTGCGAGTCTCCCCACACTCTCTTTCCCCAACGCCATACAAGCTGTTGCACGCCGTAGACAAAGCAAACCATCCAGGAAGAGGGCAGTTTTTCTCATCAATATACAGTTTACAGTAGCCAGGTCAAATGTGCGACCCGGCCGTGAGAAATCCCATGACGGATCTGTCATTTTAAATCTGTTTTGCTGATCAGAGGAGAACAGGCTGTTATGTTATCTGAAGTTTGTGTAAATTTATGAATTCATTTTTTTTGTCACTGAAATAACTCGAGCAGGGAAAGGGCTTCAGAGTCAACAAGGTTTGCTAATGTTTCAACAGGCGTGGCAGGGAGTGTGGCCACTGTTCTGCATGATGCCATCATGAATCCAGCTGAAGGTAAGAAAACGTCAACACTTCAATGTCACATTGAATACAGGATGAAGGCGGTCAAGAAGGAACACACTTGTTTTAGAAACTCAGGGAAGCAGCTGATTAGTTATATGCATGCCGTAAGGGGCATGGTGACTCTGGAAGAGCTGCAAACGCTAAACAGCTCAGGTGGGAAAACCTGTTAACAAGATATATTAGTCAATCATTCCACAAACGTAGACTGTATGAAAGAGCAGCCCAGAGGAAGGCATAAACCATTTATAATTCTACTTTTCACTTCCCACTAAACCGTTATTTATAAAAATAACATTGAAAATATAATGATGAATATAAGGAGTACACTTTTAGAAGAAAGATTTGTTTGATTTCAAAGGACTCCAGCATTTTAGTGGGAAGTAGACTTGGGATTACCACTTGGGAGTTTTTTTTCTTTTTGACTTGTGTATGGAAAGTTTAACAATTATAAGCAAAAATGTGCCAAATTTAACAATATTTATGTAAAAAAGGAAGGAAGAAATTTCCTTTAAATTCATTTTGATTCGTAATAAATGTAGTCTTACAGCACTTAAAAAAAAAAAAAAACTAATTTCAGTTCAATCACACATGCGTTCCAATTGATCAGTCATCAAACAATGCGGTATGCTAAATTAGTTATTCAAAGTGGATTACAAAGTTTCTGCCTAAGGAAACCCTGTAGGTTGCGTTGTTTCTATTTTTTGCTCCTTGCAGCTTTCACTCCTCCTGGACTTTACAGCCATAAAATTGGTTACATCAATTGGTTATTCTCCCCTTTACTGGCTAATATGAAATGTAACACTGACATAACTTTGATGCCTTCCAGTGGTAAAGCAGAGGATGCAGATGTACAACTCTCCCTATCGGGGACTTTGGGACTGTGTTCGGACAGTGACGCACACCGAAGGCATCGGAGCCTTCTACCGCAGCTACAGCACTCAGCTGACCATGAACATCCCCTTCCAGGCAGTTCACTTCATCACCTACGAACTGATGCAGGAGCAGCTGAACCCTCACAGGCATTACAACCCGAGCAGCCACATAGTGTCGGGAGCGGCGGCGGGGGCGGTTTCGGCCGCGGTGACCACTCCGCTGGACGTTTGTAAAACGCTGCTCAACACGCAGGAGAATGTCGCGCTGAGCTCTGTGAACATCAGCGGCCACCTGTCGGGAATGGCCAATGCTTTCAGGACGGTGTACAGGCTGGGAGGTCTGGCAGCATTCTTCAAAGGCGTCCAAGCTCGGGTTATATACCAGATGCCCTCTACTGCCATCGCCTGGTCGGTGTACGAGTTCTTCAAGTACTTCTTGACGAAGCAGAAGCTAGAACAAGAGGCGGCATCCAGGCAGCTGTGATGTTCACCTTTCCTTGACTCATAAAACACTCCAAGACTTAAGGATGTGAGAGTCAGTGAGGAGGAAAACGTCACCAGGCGGCAGTGTGGCGTTTTAATTCCACTCGTCATTGTCATCTTATTATCTGGGTTTGTGTTTTTTTTTTTATTGTTATTTTTAGCTACAGCAATGGCTGCACAACCACTCTATGCAAAAAAGAGGATTTATCTCAAATAGACAAATAGTGTCATATTTAACTTGCACCGTTTCGCTCCACTACCAAGTCGGTCACAGATCAGTTCCCTGGTGTCTCCATGTGATGAGCACATGATGAAGTTGTCCAAAACTATGTTTATTTGTCTGAAATATTGGAACTTTTTATTTATTTGGTTATCTTCCTCTAGCTTGGAGTTTATAGCTGCAGAGGAAAGCACAGTGCTGTTTGTTTTATGTGTTCATGAAAACTTTTTTTCGACATTCTTTAATTCCAGCACTCTGCGGGAGAGAGCAATGTTATATAAGTGCCTAACTAATATCATACACTGCTCCACCCATTTTTATTTTTGTTGTGCTTTTACATAGGAATACTTGATTGGTATTTAAACACGCACACTTCTTCTGTTCTTCCTCAGTAATAGCAAACCAATTGCAGGTGAATCTCAGTAAATCCGAATATAGTAACAGATTGTATTTTATTTTCAGGAATGCAATTCAAAATTTAAATCTCATGTTTTATAGATTATTTACTAGCAAAGTAATATATCAGACTGATTTAATTGCTGATTTTGATGCTTAATGGCATGCAGCCAATGGAAAACCCAACACAAAATTTTGCAGGAAATTCAAATTTTGCATAAGACCAGTAAAAAGCATTATTAATACAGCAACGTCAGTCTAAGAGAAGTATATCTATGTACTGTATTGTGCATGCAGACAGCTCTCGGGAGGAGCTCCTTACTGCAGCGGTGCAGGGCTGCATGAAGGTGGTCGGCTGAAGCATGGAAGTAGCCCAGGTTACATAACTCCCTTCAGCTCATCATCAGCGTTGGGTCTGTGAGGCCAGGTGAAGGCAGATGCCAAGACCTGCTGGATTATGTAATCTGGATTTATTGGCTGCTGGTCCACAACTAGACAATTGCTTTGTTTATATGAATTCAGAGGATATATTTATATACCGAAATGGTCTATTCCTGAGAAATCACTTGGGATCAGAGCCGACTGTTGCCTTGGAAGACGGCAGCAGTGACTGGCTTTTGTGAGACTTGTTTTGTCATACCGACCTTAAAGGCTTTAGATTGTCTGAATCATCCAAAAATATTTCTTATGTTCTCCTTATGCAGATTATGTGATTAAAATATACGCTTGTAAATGAAGTTTTTAAACTAAGCAATACTGCTGCACTGGCTGTCCTCATGGGGTCAGTTAAAAAAACAAAACAAACAAAAAAAACCCTGATCTGATCAAATCGTTTTATTTTCTCCCATTCTGTTGAAGTCACACATTTCCTGTGTGCTCTCTTTTTTTTGTTGCCTATTTTCTATTTTTTGATTAAGCTTTCGGCACTCTGATTTATTTGTTTATGATTACCGAGAGTGTTTTTTTGTTTTGTTTTGTTTATTCTGAAGACGTTTGTCAGATTCCAGTGTTCTCTTGAACTCCATGAATTGCTCTGGCTTGTGTGTTCAGGCAGACATAACCAAACCAAAGATATGTGTTGCTTTCTTTTTACATTCTGCTTTTAATCAATCCACTCTTTCCATCTCTGCCGTTTACCCTCGATATAATGTTAAGTTAGTAAGAAAAACTTGAATTAATTTTTTACAGCTTCTGTTTTATAGATTGAGATTTTCTACAACTTTCACTTTTCTCAAAGTGTTTTTTTAATGTTTTTAATTTGCCTCAGATAAGCAGATTTCAAACCAAGTTTTTAGGTACTTGTCTTAACCTGGTTGAGCTCGTTTAGCGTATGTAACCTTCTCATGTTGCTTTCAGTTCAATATGACTTCACAGAAATGCAATAGATTTTACCTACAACATAAATGCAACTTTATATGTTTGATTATATTTGTTTTGCTGTTTTATTGTAGTAAAATCATGCCATATCTCAGATCACTGACAAAACATTTTTCCTCTTATATGAAAATACATTTGCCTTTGAAATGCAGGCACTCATCATTCAGAGTGAGGAGAAATGTTTTGAGACTATGATCACTTTTAAATTAAGAGGAAATGTGTGTATTCTATGGAGGGAAGAGTTTCGTGATGTAAGTATGTTTATAGTATTTATGTAGAGTTGACTAAAGCAGGAGATGGTCTTACCTTTGCTGAGTTGCATCTCCGGATCTGGAAGGCTTGGAATTTTGACAATGCAAACAAAACGTGATTGTGAAAATGCTGCTACAGTTTGTAACACTGGAGCTGAAATAAACACAGATGAGGAACGCTGGCTGTCTGTGTTTTCATTCCAATCTTGTTTTGGCAAATGTTCGATGTTGTATTCCATGTCATTAGTGGAAACTCTGGTTTCAATTCAGTGCTTGAGGATTGCTTACCTTTGTCAATCTGTTGCACCTTTTGCCTGAAGGCAAATTATTTTTTTGCTAATTTTATAATAAATAATGCTGGGGTAACTTAACTTGATTTCACATAGATGTCAAGATGGGTATGTTGTTACTTTTCTCCACTTCCATGTAAATCATTTGCCATGTAGATATATAATTCACACTAAAATGGTGGTTTATCTGGTTATTTGGAGCACAGTTGTACTATCAATTATAGCTGTATATCTAAATATGAGTAATATTAGGTGAAGAAGGGAAATTTCAGTTACCCTTAACTGGAAAGCAGTAACAGCACAACTCCAGCAGAGGACAGTGTAGCGCCATGCAAAACTTCCTGTACAGCAATTCATACCTGCTGTGTCTTGTCCCTTTCTGGATCATCTACTTAAAGGTCGGGAGTAGATTGGCAGCGCTTGTTGAGAACAAGCGTTTAGGCACCCCTTAAATTATTGTCATGGAAGATTCAAGGTTTCCTCAAACATGCATAAAAGAAACCAAAGCAACATTCGAAATGGTTTAATGAGGGAAAAACATCATAACATGATCCAAAGTTTTTTTTAAAAAATCAGTTTTACTCCCCTTTAATACAATGAAACATAACATTTTAATCATAACATCATTTTTCATTTTTATATATCTTGCCATTTCTGACTAAAGAGTTCATTTAAAAATTTTGAATTTTAGAATGTTTGAGAAGAATGCTCCTTAGTTGTTATTCTAAAATATTCCTCAAACAGAATTAAATGAGAAATATTGATGGTTCTGGTAGAAAAAGAGACAGGTCTGCAAACTTTTAGGCATAGAGTCGCACTGTTGCTGTCTGTCTTATTGCATTCTGTACACAATAGTAATGATTTGTTAAAATACAATTTATAAGTGTGAAAAATTAAAGGAAATAATTATATATTTATTATATAAATAATTGAATGTATCAATAATTTATCAAGACATGCTGAAGCACAGAACTATGAAATAATATAAAACAATCACTCAAAAATACAGAAAAAGATAGAAAATTGTGATACTATGTATTTTCAACGTTATTTTTCTCACATTTTTAAACATTTACATAATGAGCTAGTGATTTATAGAATCATGTCTTCTTCGGCTCTTGCTTCATGTTTGCTATAAAGATTCAGACACAGCACTTCTTTTGCTCACAGCTGCATCAATTTAAAGCTGCAGTATGTGACTTTTATAAAAAAAAAAATATATATATATATATATATATATATATATATATATATATATATATATATATATATATATATATATATATATATTTCTTTACATGTTGCTGTACTATGTGAAAGCAACCAATCAGAGCCAAGAGGAGTGTTTCAGTGCTGCCAATCATGCCTGTATGTGTAGGACATTGATCTTCTCACAGATTAAAATGTTCTGATGACAAAGATGTTAGTTGTAGGTGAAGGGGAATGCTGATACCGACCTTAGTGATGGTCAGAGTTGTATAAGGACACGAATCGGATCAGGAACTACAATTTCCAATCCACGCTGGATTTTAACTGAATTGATTTTTGTCTTTTTTAATAAGTGATCATCCCAGCCAGAGGGAATGAAATTATGGCTTTCAATAGATTCCTTTCAAATTGCTGGTAGGGAACTGGTCCCCAAACTATGATTTCTCATATATGCTTGTGATTTATTTTTTTTTTTTGTCAATAAGAAAATCTTATCTTAAAAGTGTGGAGACAGCTGTCAAATAGACACAAAAGTATTAACCAGAAATACCTGCATTTCTTTCATTGACACTGTGAGCCATTTGTTGGCCACCAAGTTTCCTGCACTGTTATTGTTGCTTGACATAGAATGACTAAAATGTATTAACCTCACAAAGAATACAAGAGTCCTGTTGCCAGGGTTGATTTTACCACTTTTTAATTGTTTTATTTATTTATTTTTTATTATTTTTTATTTTATACTGCTCAAAAAAATAAAGGGAACACTCAAACAACACAATATAACTCCAAGTAAATCAAAACTTCTGTCAAATCAAACTGTCCACTCAGAAAGCAACACTGATTGACAATCAACATCACCTGCTGTTGTGCAAATGGAATAAACAACAGGTGGAAATTATTTTCATATTTATTTCATTCATTCAGATCTAGGATGTGTTATTTGAGTGTTCCCTTTATTTTATTTTTTTTTTGAGCAGTGTATATATATATATATATATATATATATATATATATATATATATATATATATATATATATATATATATATATATATATATTTATTATTTATTTTATTTTATTTTATTTTATTTTAATCTTTATTTTTTTTACCATCTCATTTTTTTTTTACCATCTATTCAAAGTCATGATAAAAAACAAAAAGCTACAAACTTTGTGCTTTTAAAGAGATGACGACAGCGCGGAGCTTCATTCTACAGCAACATGTCTATGGACACGTACACCGATTCTATAAACCTGAAGTGTTTGGCTTTCGCCCTCGTCCAGTCGGTTGTTTATCTGAAGAGCACAATAAATGCCCCTCTCATCCACATCCTGCATCTTGCAATGTTTTTTTTTTTTTTTCCTAATCTTTTTGATCTGCAGTAAACTTTCTTACCACTTTATAACATTATCTGAGAGATAACAGGAAAATTACTTTTCTCTCGGGGCCTGCATGTCTTAGAGCATGTTTTCCTCAATGCCTGCAACAGCGACCATCAGCCATCAGGAGAGTTAGATGCTCCATGGCGTGTCTGCTGATTGGACAAGAAAGGCAGCTGCTCTGCCGGGTGAGCGACATGAGGGATCCAGTTACAATATCCGAGGAAGTTTTGTTGAGAGCTCCCATGGGGAGATGGAGGCCGCGTTAAACCTCCTTATCATCTCCAACAAATTTGTGAGACAGTCACGGCATATTGGAGCACAAACAAAGACTGTCTTTGTGGTCAGGGTTACTTTTCTGCTCATCTGCAGGAAAGATCTGCTTGTTTGTTAAAGCATCATTGACCACCTTGAAGTGAACTTCAGTGCACGGAGCACATCAGACCACCAGAACAGCACAGTAAACAAGGCATGACTCACTTTTAAGATTAAGATTAATCCTCTTCAGAAATACTCTCAGACGTTACATCATGTCATTCTTTCAAACCACAAAACTGTGTATTCCTATCAGCTACTGATTTCTTTTCTCATACCACATAAGTTCTTTAAAGTTTTGATAGGTATGTAACTTTTTTCTTTTCTTAGAAAGTGCATTTAACAGAAACTGCTTTGCTTAAAGAGTTCAGTGACATCACGAGGATCGAGGACCTTGTGGAGTTTACTGTTCTGGTCCTGTTAGGCTGTTTAGCCTAACAGGAGTTAGGCTAAACACATCTACATGAACAACCTTCATAATTTGATGGGGATTTCTGGAACTGTCGACTTTTCATATTCTGCTGATCTAACCAGAGAGGAACCCCAAATGTATGATTTGTGGACTTTATTTTTGGTTCATGCAAATAAATTATGTATATATATACACACCTTCTAAATTTGATCTGTGAAACTCCAATATAATTGACTTTAACCTACTTTTATCCACTAAACCTCATTCGCTTGCTCAGAGAGCTTCAGAGTCACTCCCCCGAGAAGATTGAACATGAACGATAAAGACAACCTGGTATTTTTGCAAGTATGCTGTGTTTGGGATTCAATGTACCGTCTCCCTTTGAGCCAACGGAAATGCAGGTATTACAAAACAGTGAGTGCAATAATAGCCGTGCTACTCACCTCCAACTTCAACCTTTCTTGAGCTCCTTTATCTGATGAGCCTGCTCCTATACAGTCTGAGAGACACCGAGATGCAGTCGGATTTTCAGTGTCGTCAAAACAGATGCAATCTGCCCTCTTCATGTCAAATTACCTGTTTGCTCTGAGGGCTTAGGGGAGAGCTCAGCTACAGCCCCTCTTGACACCAGCTCACTTCAGTTTGAGAAAATGAGCAAAAGTTTTAGAAGTCATGTTAATTTCGGCAGGATGTCTCAGTTTTCTTAATGTCCTGAGGGATTTATAACTTCATAGTTGCACTTCCTCTGTATAAATGTTATTGTGTTGTATGTTAACCCTGCATACTGAATCAAACCACACATGAGCCTCATACATTGAATTCTAAAGCAAATACTTTTGAGTTAGAGACTAAAGTCAGATTTGTGACAATGGGGGCTTGGTCTTTATCAGTTCCATCTTCCATCATGCTCACACTGATGTTACTGCCAACTTGCCCTTCCTAAATATTTAAAGCTTAACAATCTTGCATGCCATCTTTTCACCAGTTTTAACAGCAGAACTTGGTCACCACTGTATCCCACTATAAGTTAATTTTAAAAAGCTACAGATTTTCTGCCTTTTTTTTTCTCAAATAACTGATCAGTGTTTTAAGTAAACAAGAGGATTTCTTTGTAGGTCGCAAGTACCAGTAAAAGATAAAAATGATACACATCCTCATATTTGATAAAACTGCTGCTGTTGTTGTGAGCTTAAAGATTTTAGAGATATCCTGTGTTTGCGTATTTGTTCAGCGAAAGGTTGTGAAAGGTTTGCTCTCTGTGGTGTGGGATGGTTATTTCTGTTCTTTTCGATGTTTCTTGTTATGTTTTGATGCTTTCTTTGTTTAATCAAGAAAGCACCAGTCTGCCTTTAAAGCATTTTACTCAAACAACAATAACCCAACTTCTCTGAGTGGCTGAAACATCAGTCATTCCATTTAAAAGCAACTTTGTCCAAATGGCTTGTTTTGATGGTGTTACTAACTGAGACTATAATAAACCTTTTCCCATTTTCTTCACATTTAATGCTACATACATGCTGCACACATCTTCTGAAAAACACTCTGCCATGACATAAACTTTACTTTAGTAAAGGCATTTAAACCCCTTGATTTTTTTTTTGCAAACAGAAATCATTGCATTTCCTTGGTAATTTTATGTAAGGCATCTCCTGAACATATTGCATAAATTTTAAGTTAAAAAAAATGTACACGGTATTTAACTATTCAAATAGATTTACACAGGCATCTTTTAATAAAAAAAAAAGTGTAATTAGTAACCAAAGTGTGTAATTTAAAGTAACAAGTAACTTACGGTGATTTTATGTGCCTCAAAAATATATATGTTGTTTAGAAAGATTTCAGCAAGGCAGAGTCTCCCTTTAGATGCAGGATATCTAGATATAAATCTAGAGGCCCATGATGACTCTGGGGGAGTTCTGGAGATCCCTACAGTTCAGATCGATGAACATATTGAAAATACGGTGCAAACTCCATCATTCTGGATGTTGTGGAGGAGTGAGAAGAACATGGAGGACCAAAACTGGCATAATTAAAAGTAAAAGCAGAAATTTATATAGCTTCTTTTTCCTTGAAATGCTTGTGTAAGGATAAGAAAAAACAAAAAGTATACAGATTTCTGCTTTTACCTCTAATTATTCCAGTTTTTGTCCTCCATAAAAAAAAAAAAAAAATTGTATATTTATAAATGTTCAATTAAATTAAGACAGAAGTCAGGGAACTTGTGTTACCCCCATGAAGAGCATTTTTCCCCCAAAACCAAACAGTAGATGTGCAATCTTAGAAAGGGCGAACACAAACAAACTTTTTTCACTCTCTTCATGTCACAAGACAGATACCGTCCAAAAAAAAAAAAAAAAAAAAAACAGGTTTTGTTACTATTTTATCTGTGCACCTTCCTATCTTATGCAGAATACCATGGCCATCAGAGTACTGAGACACAAAACGCCTGACATGCTTTATGCCGCGAAGCCACAATCAGACATTATCACCTGAGTGTGTGTGACAAATGGGGCATGGGATCAGTTTAAACTGAACCCAACCTTCATTTCTGAGCCTAATCTTCATACTTTAGATCACCGCGTATTTTGTGTCAATTCACGTTTTTGTTGCACTTTCTAGAGGGAATGTTGATGTCTCTTCCGACTGCCTCAGCAATCTTGTGTACGTCTCTTTTTCATTTTCCAATGGTTTTTCCGAACTGTCATAATTTCATCTGCAGGAAACTGAGATGCTGCTTATCTTCAGGTAATCTGATCAAGCAACAGAATCAGCTCTCGTTCCTCAATCTCAACATGTCACACTGCACAAACTTTAACTTCAGATGATTTCAACGACTCCAGCAAAAATACCTCAAGTTGTCACACAAAAGTTATTTTTTTGCAAACTGTAGTATTTTCACCGACTCCTTTGAAAGAAATTCACAATTTGCAGCTTAATTATTATTAAGTATCTAATACAAGTGTCACCCTGCGCCAGACTGGCTAACGTTCCGGCCTCTAGCCAACCGATGGATGGATGGATGGATGGATGGATGGATGGATGGATGGATGGATGGATGGATGGATGGATGGATGGATGGATGGATGGATGGATGGATGGATGGATGGATGGATGGATGGATGGATGGATGGATGGATGGATGGATGGATAATACAAGTGTTTTAGAAATCAGAATAGGATGTTATCTAAACAATTTTGTGAATTGTACAAAGTTCTTGCTGTGAATTATTTATTTATTTATTTATTTTGCAAAGAGTTTTTAAGAAAAATGAGCTTCAGCAAAAAATAATTTATTAATGAAATAATCACCAATGCCAAACAGTTTGATTCAGGTCACCATCCATGCAACACACAGCTTGATTCTCTGGAGAACATTACTATCTGAAAAGAGAAGCATCCAGGCAGTACAAAGTGTATTACTTTAAAGAGAAGAAACTTCAAGTCCCTCAGCATTGGTTAATTGTCATCTGTTGTGACTTTTCTACCACAACATTGGCCCCCAGGCTCCACTATAGTCCCACAGGTAGGGTCTGTACTGGTAGGCTTTGCAGAAGGAGGTTAATAGAGATGCTCTGACCAAATCCTCTCTCAAGCCCAGTCCGTCTGCTTTGTATGCATCCTTGCACAGCTCTGCACTCTGCTGCTTTCGCTTCGTCTTGTACCGCCTGTTCTGAAACCAGATCTTGACCTGGGTCTCGGTCAGTCTTAAGGTGCTGGCCAGGTGAGCCCTCTCTGGGGCTGATAGGTATTTCTGGTGGCTGAATTTTTTCTCCAGTTCAAGCACTTGAAGGTGGGTGAAGGCCGCTCTGGAGCGCTTCTGTTTTCCTGCGGAGGAGAAGCTGGATTCTGAGGAGCTGGGATGGGATGAGTCCGGAGACTCTGTGGAGGAACAGACCAGACATATAAATAGATGTTTAGTTTTCTGGTAAGTTTGTTAGGTTTCTGATCTCTATAAATTACGGAGACTGCACAAATTGAAACAATCTGTTTTTCGAACTCAATATTGCTACCAATCCCTAAATCCCAAAAAGATGTTGAATAAGCTCGTCAACATCCCATGCAAAAACCCTTGTCAGATTCCCTGTTCTTAACCTTCCAGTTATTTCAAGCATGCCGGTGCTCACCTGTGTGCATTCCAAAGGCGGATTCTTCAGGATAAAGGTGTGTTGACAACTTTTCAGACTCCTCTCTCCAGTCGGAACATTTTTCCCTCCTTAGTGTGCTGCATTTGCCATCCACTCTCTTGCAGTCCTTACTGGACAGGATGTCCTCGATGAGGAAAGACGTCACAGGTTTGATTGTACCAGACATTTCCATCCAGTGATCCCAGAAATCAGAGACCTGTCGGTACCAGAAGACCGAGGCTTCGCTAAAGCAGCGTGTGTGTTCTCACATTCTCAGGAGGTTTGAATTTATATGCCGGGAAGAGGCGGGTTCAGCCAGACCGAAGTGAAAGAGGGTTGGGTCAAGCTGAGAATCACTTTGTTGACTTCTGTGGAGAAACCTTACTGAAATTTCAGAGATTAAAACCATTATCACTCCTCAAAATCAGTGTTTTAATTGTTTAGTTCTAATGTTTTGATGATTTAGTATCAATTCCTAGTGTGAACATTTCTCTCTTTTTTTTGTATTTTGTTGGCTTTTTGGAGTGTTTACTAAATAGAAAGCAAAACACTAAAAATACTGTATTTGTGAAGATTTTCTGTACTTTTCTTATAAGATACTTGCAAGAAAAAAAATGTAAGGCCATTTTTTTTGGTTCTGGTTTTCTGAAACATTATTAACAAGATGAGGGATAGTGCATATTTAACAGTTATGTCATTTGAAATACTGTTTCAACCTACTTTTATTTACAATCTATGGTTAAAGAAATATTTTTGTTAAATATAAACATGTAAATGTATTGCATGTATTCCCTGCATAACTGTTTGATATTAACCACAAAATTTAATGTATTTTATTAAGATTTTCTGTGATATACTAACCCATGCTGTGTGTAATTGGGAGGCAGTTGGATCTAATCCTGTCAAAAATATTTTACAAGTAACAATCTGAAAAGTGTGGCATGCCCATGAACCTAACACTCAATAGAACTTATATCTACCAGCTTTAGAAACTCAAATTTTGTCCAGTCAATTTGCATGGAGAACGTCTGTGAACATTGTTTTCTGGTCCCCTAATTCTCACGTTAGGCTTTTGTGCTGTAGGAAGATGAACCTCTGCACCAGTCTCAAGTCTTCCGAAACATAATGTTTTATCAAGGGACTTCCCTGCATTTAGCAAGATCTGCCTTCCCATGAACTCTGCCCAGTTCTCCCTGTTCCTGCTGAAGAAAAGCATTTCCTCAGCAAGATGCGGAGGAAGATGCTGCCAGCCCCATGTTCACAGTGGACATTGCGTGGTGATGTGCAGTGTTAGTTTTCCACCGCTCATGGCTTTTTGCATATTTGATGAAAAGTAAAGTTTTGTTCTCATCCGGCCAGAGCTCCTTCCTCTACCTGTTATTTTGAGGCCTGTTTGTGACAAACCATGAACTGTTTCCCTCCTGCATCTCTTTCATAATAACCAGAGGTTCCTCAGTCCTCATGATGCTATTTCTTCACTGATGTTCCCTAACAACTATCTGACCACAGTTGAATTTACATTGAGATTAAATTACGAGAGACGACATAACATGAGCTCTTTTGGGTGTTGTTCTGTAAATAAAACATTAATATGATTTTGCTTGTTTTTCGGGAATGAATAAAAACGCCCAAGGAGCATGGATATTTTTGAGAGGTGCCGTACAGTCGCATACTTAAAAAAAAAAAGAGACAAGTTTGTAGCTTTCCTGGGGTGAAAGCATGAAAGATAAAACCTTCTGCTCCAGACACACATACTCTCTAAGTATTTGGTGCCACAGCAGTTAAATGGATTTACGTCTTAATCCCCACAAACCCGTCAGCTCAGCACGGAGAGCCCAGTGGCCTCAGGGACACACCACTGTCTGCAGCATACGGGCAGAGTGGGAAGGGTGGGGGTCAGAGTGGGTGGTCAAGCCTCCATGAGCACTAATGAGTTGGACACATTGAGGCCGGCTCCTGAATGGATGCGCTCATTGTTTCTAGATGTTTATTTGTTGTTCTCTGAGGTGCAGAGTGACCTCTCTGCAGCGGCTGAGATGTTTACTGGAGGTGTCCATGTTGCTTTGGGATTTAATGCTTCATTAGTCCATCCATGACTTCGGGTGTGATAAACATGACCCCGTTGCTACCTTCTGGTCCTGCTGACTCTGTTCACGCATCAGCCGCAGTCTGACACTGACGGGACCCTGTATCATCCCTGCTTTACTAAAATGAAAACGTCATTTGTCACACAATTTACGTTACTGGCAATCACGGATATTTAAATGCTGCTTATGGTGATTCGCATCTTTCTCTTTAACCTAATGTCTTGTCAACACAGTGTTAAGATCCTTTGTGTGATACTCTTTACCCTGACCTTGTCTGTGGCTGTCTCAGGTAGGTTGAATGGTAAAGAGATCCTTTATCCTATTGTCTAGACACCATATCTCTTGTTTTCTACAATCCCTCGGGTTTATTTTGGGGTGGTATTTTCTGTAAAAAAAACAAAAAACTTTTTCACTTTAGCAAAAGCGCAAATTTTGCTTAAATGTATTTAAACAGGAGGGAACATCTCAAACGTGGTTGGTTTTTGTCTGAAGAGGAAACCTCATGCACTCTGCGTGATGACACAAGCACAAACAAGAGCGAGCCGTAAGAGTCAGCGCACATGTTATTCTAGAGGGGGATTACATTTGAAACAGTGAGCACAGCGATGCAGTCATCTGCCCTTATTCTGCGACAATACGGGAGGAAGACGATCCTTGCTCTGATTCTCTAACAATCCCCATGATTGCTGTCTTTTTAAGCTAGTACCTCGTCACGTATTGTGTTTTAAGCATTCACCTCGTAGCTATGTCACAGCATAGTTGCACATCAGACGTGACATTGCAGAGCTTCCGACCTTTTGGCCCAGGAAGGCATTTGTCTTCCACAGTTTAAACTATGTGGTGACAATGTTTTCTTCGAGCTGCTGCATGTCGCTGTGCCATCAGTCTTCTGCCATTTCCCCTGTTATTTCATTGTCTGTGATGACAGGCAGAGATTGTTGTAACTTAACAGTACATCTGTCAGACTCCTGTGCTGTTGTCGGAGCGACAACGGTTTTCATCGTGTCACAACTTCACGCAAAACTAGCACGGTCTCTTTAAATGATTTTTGTGACAAAACAGATGTGTCATCAGATTATTGAAAGATAAGTAAGTAGAGTTTGTTCATAAGGTGCTTTTCACAGACATAAAATCACAAAGCACAGTACAATAAAAAGTGACCTTCAAGTATACAAGGCATGAAACAAACACAAGAAACACAATAAAATCGGGACATTAAAGCCTGGGAAAATAAAAGTGCTTTAAGTTGCTATTATGAAAACCTCCACAGTCAGCAAAAAAGAGCAGCAAAGAGACCCACAGACTTGGGGGTACCCAGTAAAATGCCCCTTGGGATTTTAGCCACGTACGTGGAACAACCAAAGAGAATCTGTGTTTGAGAATGAAAGCCACGAGCAGCAGGGTATTTAGTTAAAACCTGATACAGATAATCAGACCTGACTATTTAAAGCTCTGTACTTCAGCACAAGAACTTTTAAAGAGGTACAGTTTGTGAAAGGTTTATGTTTCTGCTTCAGTCTCCCAGGTCAAAAATATGATTTTTGTTTTACCCATGTAGATAAGATTCAAGCTTTTCTTAAAATTTGATTTAGACATTGTTTTGGTCAGTTTAAGTGAACTGATTTTGAACACAGTGGTAATTTATTCAGTCTATCACATGTTCTGAACAAGGTGTTTCGGACAATGTTTTCTTCATTGATGCCATTCTTTAGTCATCTTCAGCTATTTAGAAATGATGTGATGCATATTTACTAAATGTACTGTTGTTTGGCCAAATCTTTAATTCCGACAGCTACATGCATATGAATATGTTGAAAAAGAATAAATTTACAAGCTATTTAATACCCTCAGGTTAGAAATTAGGGATGGAATTGGACACAAGCTCAATCTTAATCATTTTTGGCATGTTTAAAATATATTTTTCGTTATTATTATTATTTTTTTTTCATTTGAAGGTTTAACATTAAACCAGATATGGATGAATGCCAACTTCACACTGAAGCATGGACTTAAAAGTTCAGCTAGTATTAAGGGATGGAAGAGAAGGAACTCTCCCACGAGAGGGAGCCTCAAATCTCCAGCAGTAGTCTAAAGAGCCACAATAGATCAACATGTTTTTTTTGTTTGTTTTTTTTTTTCAAATCGACATGTTAGAGACAATTAACTGCTGGTTGCTTCTCATTCAGCTCGTAAGAAATCTTGCAGCACAGTTATTTGATTTGTAAATCATCTCAGATGCAATCGTAGACAACAGCTTATCTGACCAGCATGAATACTGTTATAAAAACAGAGCAATACACCATGAATTCATGGAACAGGATGACTTAATTCCAGTTCACTAAATCATAATAGGTCTTTCACTGACGCCTAAACTCGCGTCATCCCTCGCTTAAATGGACCCTCATCTCCACAATGTAATCAAGCCCCTTCCATTTTTTGTCTTAAAAAGCCATTCAGTCATGTTTACATATCCAGCTTTCTAACTCCAATAAAAGATCATGCTTTTTATTGTTGTTGTTCCAGAGATACCAACTTTGGAAAGTTTGCGAAATTTCCAAAATTTGCAAACTTTGGAAAGTTGAAAAGTTGGAAGGTTTCCGGCTGTTACGGCCGTTTTGTTGGTCGGCTGTGACAAATTATAATCTGATTGGTTTGTGACTCAAAATATGCCCTTAGCGACAGAGACAATCACAGTTCCTTCCACAATGTAATCATGTGGAATACATGACGTAACAAAAGAAAGACTGCTCAGCTGCTAAAACTGTTTAACACCCACAGTAAGACTTTGAAAGAAGAACAGGACAGTAGAGCGGGCCTCAGTTGTTCTATCACACATCAGCTTTATGGTGTAAGACTTTTTAATAATGCTGATTTATTTATTGAGTGATTTTATTACACTATTATGCCATCTCTTTTCATGTGGGTCATAGCAATGACAGTTAAAGGCATAAAACTTCTACTTGACTGAAATGTCAACCTTTGAAATGCAACATGTCAATTGCATTTCAAACTATCCATTGTTAATGCCTGCCACCACGTCACACATATGTGTCCATGTCCAGTTGGCTGCATAAATATTGTGTAAAACTCGTTCAGTGCCCAAATGACAAAAAAAATAAATGAATAAATAAATCTTACTTTAGACCAGTGGTTCTTAACCTGGGTTCAATCAAATCCCAGGGGTTCGATGAGTCGGTCTCAGGGATTCGTATACATGAATTAAAATTCTCGGCCCCAGTTGAGGACATCGAGCTGTGAATTGCAACAAGCTCGGATGAGCATTCCCGATGTAGTTTAGGAATGTCGTCCCCCAGAGCCTGACACTGGTGGTGGAGGTCGGTGGATGATGTGAAGGTAGAGAAGGTTTGGAGGTGGGTTGAGCGCAGCTGGAAAGCGGAAGACGCCATGGATGGAGGTTCTTATCAAGTGGGTGCTTGGTCAACTGGGTGATTGGCCGTGACGTGGCTTGACCAAACCATGCTGTACCAACGCGTGGCCCAGTCGTCGTCGCTCAGGTTGACGATGATGAGCGAGACAAGCCGATTGGATGGGGGCTAGAGAGTCTTCCAGTTTGAATTTGTGCCTAGACTTTATGATATGCAATGCATTTAAATTTCTAATTTAAAAAAATTAAGTTACTAAAAAATGTTGACTGCTTAAAAAAATATCCAAATTTATTTTTGCTATTAGTAAAATAGCAAAAGAAATATGTTTGGGGCTGAAATAAAGTAATACCATAATTTGTTCTGAGTTCTTGCACTGTGTTGGTTTTCTTCTTTGAGCAAGGTGATGTTCATGCATGACTCATTTTGTGCACCAGTAAAAAAAAAAAAGCATATGCTTATGTCTTGAATTTGGAAAAAAAAAAATCCTATTTTATTTATCACTAAAGAAAGGTTCAGTGAATATGAAACTAGTGAGTTCGGTACCTCAAAAAATTCTAAGAATTTTTTTTTTAGAGGTAATCTTTTATACTGAAGTGAACATCAATGCAATACCTTGTTCTTTCCGTCCTCCAGTGTCTCTAACACCATCGAGCCAGGATATCTGAGTGTCCATTGGTGCTGTCACCAGTCGACCACCACATGTCCCAGTAGATACTGAACCACCTCTCTGGTCGCTCACAGTAAGTCAGTACACAGGACTAAACTTTTTACAAGCTACCTTCTCCATTAACCCTGCAGGCTTCCTTCTTCAGACGTTTTCTGATGTTACTGCCATAGCTGACTTCAAATCCACTGACATTTAGCTTGCATAGAGCAGCCAGTGCTATTTTATATCTGTACGGTACTTTTGAAATTTGCTCTTTCTGTACACAGTGTTACCACTTCTGTTTATTTTTATTTTTGCATGATTCCCCATCCGTTAATGTCTGCCAATTCAATGCGGATACGCCTGAATTTCCCCACTGAAAGACTATAAATAGAAAAAGAAATAATTAGAAACAATTCTATCCTATTGTGTTATATTCTGTTCTACAAACCCTTTTGTTTATGTGTCCCAGTTGAGTGTTTTATTTGTTGTTCATCTCCTTGCATTTCATTCTGACCTAATTGCAGGAAATAACTGTTTCAGCATTTGTTTCAAGAATTTCTCTCATTTGCCGAAACGAGAACCATCTCTCTCTCTCTCACACACACACACACACACACACACACCCCCCACACACACACACACACACACACACACACACACACACAACCCCCCCCCCCACACACACACACACACGCACGCACGCACGCACACGCACACACACCCCAAACCTATCCATCCAAACAGCACCCACACACCCCACCCACGCAGACATTATTATCTGATGATCAGTCCGTCTCCTCTCTGTCTACAGCTTCACTCTTATCTCTGCAGCTGAGATGCAGCTTCAGCTTATGCGGAAGTGCTACCTTTCTTTAAGTCTCATTCAGTTACATCAAAACACACTTTTTTTTTCTTTTTTTACTGAGAAACCTAAACTATTCCCACCCGTTCCAATAATCTGAAACGACACAACCAAGGCTATAACGACTGTGCAACATCTCCCCGGCTCACGACTGAGTGACAGTTCCGACTCTCCACCTCTCTTATTGAAAGTTTGAAAAAGTTTAAGAGCCACTCAGTCTGAGGCATTGTTTACCAAGCGGAGCCGCGAGACAAGACAGGCTCTCTGGCCTTATCAGCGACTCCGCACTCCGTGGGTTTGTGAATGGGACAATAATGAGCTCGGTTCGATAAAGCAGCTCTGTCCTGTCAGGTCGGATGTCGCTTCGTCTTCGTCCATTCGCTCTTCGATGGTTGCCTTTGATAAAACTGCGCAGCTCGTCCGAGCGCCTTCTGGCACCGCAAGCGACGCATGCGTAAAGAGTTCAACAAAACTGAAATCCATGCAGGATTTCAAAATAAACAAACGTAATCTAGTTTTATTTTTCATTTATTAAAAATGGCATTTAAATGATGGCATAAACAATAAAATTGAAATAAAAAATGATTATGTATGGACTTGCGGTGTCGCTGCAATTGCAGGAAACAGTGAAGATAGAGAACAAGTGTGTATCAGCAGCCTCTAACACCCTGTGAAGAAGCCTGGAGCTGGTGGAGCAGAGTCAGCTGGATCCGACAGCTGGTACCTGCAGCCGTACAGGTCGCTGTTTCCGTTGCCAAACACCGGGCTGTAGTGTCCCAGAGTCACGTTGTAAGGCCCCGAGTGGTAGGGACCTGCGCCGCACAGCTGCCCGTCCCGCACCAGCACTGGCACCGCGATCCGCCTCGGCGCCGGCGGGAACCCGGCCAGCTCCAGGGACCGGTCCTGCGTCTGACGCTTGCACTTGTAGCGCCGGTTCTGAAACCAGATTTTGACCTGGGTGGAGGTGAGTTTGAGGGTCTCGGCCAGGTGCTCTCTCTCCGGGGCGGACAGGTAGCACTGCTGCCTGAAGCGCCTCTCCAGCTGGGACACCTGGGACTGAGAGAAGAGGACCCGGGGTTTCCGGCGCAGCCTGCGTCTGCCTTTAGCGTCACTGTCACAGACGGGCGAAGAGCCGGGGCCACACTTGTCTGCAGCGAGGGAAAAGGGCAGCAAAATGTACACAAATATACAATTTATATGCTTGTATATATATATATATATATATATATATATATATATAGATAGATAGATAGATAGATAGATAGATAGATAGATAGATAGATAGATAGATAGATAGATAGATAGATAGATAGATAGATTTATTACACAGACTCAAAGTCCAAATATACATAAAAAGAAAAGAAAAAGAAAAGAATAAAAGTGCATATATATATATGTGTGTGGGGGGGGGGGGGTGTGCGTGGGTGTGTGTGTGTGTATGTTTTGAGGTAGTTGTTGGTGATGAACTACACTATTTCTTTAGTTGTCAGAAATCAAAATTTACCGGCCACCGTGTTAAATTTATTATCGTTTCAATTGCATTTTATGTCTTAGACATAAAGCAGACAAAGTTTGAATAGGACTTAAAGCAGAATCTTCCTGATAGGAACATCATCATCACTTTCAATTCAGAATTGGTGGAATCTGTCCCAGATCTAAGGAATTCTTTCTAATTTTAATCACATGAAACCTGCAGAATAGTGTGGGTCCTGAGGACTCGGGCTCAAAACCAAAACCTTCAGACATATTTCAAATGCTGTAGTAAAACCTTTCAACAACCTGGGCCTTTTAAACCTGCAGCAGAGTTGCCTGTGTGTAGTATGTTTCAGCTGTGTGGAAACAGCTGATATAGTAGCTTGAATTATTGCAGTACTGTTTACTTCCTCAGCCACAAAAGATTTTCTTCCCCTTTTTAACATTGGAGAATAAGATAATTTCATGAAACAAACCCTGAAGATGTTGGTAGGATGGACTGTTGTGCTAAGAAAGAGCCCACCCAACAAAGATGATATCTGCATTCATGAAATATGTGGCCACTAATGAATACAGTTGTGAAACTGTATTATGTATTAATTGTTCTGAGTTTGGTGGTATTAAATATACAGAAAGAAAAATCATTCTTGATTCAGAAATTTGAAATCCAGCTATTGTCTTGTTGGCATTGACATGTTGATTGTGCATCTTTTTATTCTTTTTGTTTGCTTTTGATTTATCCTGCTTTGTTGAAATTAATACAAATTCATGGGACATTTATTGCTCATTGTTGGTAAATATCAACATGAAGTTAAAGTTGACATTTATACTCAGATCCGTTTGCTAAAATACAACAGAAAACTTTATTTTGAGATTCAATGGTTACATCTTATTAGTTTGTTAAATAAGTTCACACATCTATTGTCACATGTTTAAAACTGGACTTGTACAAGCAACTAGAGAAAAGAATAAATTACATTTCAAAACTACAGTGGTGGTCTGAATGTAAAGCCCAAGTTAAATTAGTAAGTTGTTGAATAAAAAGAAACATTAACAGATCTGTTTAGTCCTGTTTTTGGCCACAATTTATTGTTCAGGCTGATAAATAGGTGACTAATTATCAGCCATTTGGATAAAATTGCAAAAGGCATTGTATACATATTATTGAAATGAAAATGTAGCCTATATATATTTTTATATACAATAATACACTAAGATAACGAAAATATGAAACAGTGTGGATATAATGGATACATGGAACCAAACAAATCATGAGTCAATTTTAAAAAAATAATAATCATTATTAGTAACAGTCCTGATTAACTCACCTTGTTCATTCATCTGCTCTGCAGATGATCTGTGAACCTCGATCTTCTCCTGCATCCCGTGAACGCACCGCTCAGACTGAGCGTCATAAAACCCGTCGCTTTTGGAGGCAGCGCGCATCAGCTGATGATGATGCATCGGAACGACTTGGTCCATCATCTGCAGATCATTTTCATACTCGTCCTGCTGGTAGTCCAACTTCAAAATGTCCTTAACAGAGAACGGGGTGGAGGTCGTTGAACTGGGATGCATCCTCATCATTTGCTGCGGGCGTTTGAAACTTTCTTTTTTATTTACTTATTATTATTTTTTTATTTTACGCACGCTGTGCTGGAGCTGGCTCTGAAGGTCGCTGCCGGCCGAAGTTCTTCACTAACCGATAAGTGAGGGGCCTCGGAGGATTTAAACCGTCCGAGGGTCCCTGCTAATGAACAAGTGAGATAGATATCAGCCCGTCTGAGACACAGGGGCCAACACCCGGGGAGACTGCGCGCACACTTCTGCGGCTCCCCCATCTTCTCACCTTACAGGAACACCTATCATCACATCCGCCCTTCTGTCAATGTGGTGCTGTAATTAAGAAGCCCAATTAAGACTCGAGAGGCACTGGAGTAAAGTGTGGCCATCTACAAGGACAAAATTTATTTCTCAGAAAGACGAACAGATTTTTATTCACTTAAAGAGGCTTTTTTTTCCAAAGTTTTTTTGTTAAATTACTAATAGAAGAAAATACAAGTCAATGCAACGCAGTAAGAAAATAAAAAAAAAAGGAAAGTTGTGTAAAATAAAACAAAATGAAATGAAACAGAATTAAACACTAAACGTGATTGGAGAGTCTGTCTGAACCGTCGCTTTTGGTGCGGTGCTGGGTGGGAGTGGGGGTTGAGTGATCCCCGGGTGATGTCGCACAGCTTTTACCGCCGACATTGTTTTCCAGCCGTGTTATTAGCGAACCCAGGCCACAACAAACAGTAACACTACACCTGATGTTGTGGAAGTGGGGAGACAGCGGCGCCAACCAGCAATGCTTGACTGAGGCCGAGACGCGCGTCCCACAGAGGCGGTAAACACGCAGCAGAGCCACGGAGCCCCTGCGTGGCGCGGCTGTTTTCTGCAAAGGGACAAACAGATGAAGGAAAATTAAGAACAACAAGGGGGCAAACCTTTCAAAAGTTGCTACAGAGAAGTTTAAGAATGAACGCCTGAATAAAACAGTGTGGACTGACAAGGACTCACTCAGATACAACTTGGTTGGCAGCCATGTATTATAAAGCTATCTAATAAATTTGTTTGAAAGCCTCTCGCATATATTGAAAAAACAACAAAAAGCATCCAGCATATTTCTGCCAATTTGGAACATCAGTTAATTATGAAACTGTTTTTAAGTGAATGATCCAAAGGTCTTCCACAGCAAACTATCGGCTTGTGTGTGTGTGTGTGTGTGTGTGTGTGTGTGTGTGTGTGTGTGTGGTGAGGGGGGGGGGGGGGGGGGCTGGAGGAATCCGTGCAGAAATTGACAACCACAGATGAGAAACAAACACTTCAACACATCTGTGCTGCAACCTTGCAGTGCTGAAGATCAAGGTTTTGCTTTATGATAAATAGATGTTTCCTGATTGTTTACTTTCATCAGACAAGAGGATTTGAACTGTGACTACTCATACTAATCAGCCTGGGTGAACACATCGTTTCCATATTGTGTTGTGAGTTTACACTCAGTCAGTGAGCAACCTGCATTTTGTGGTTTACAAAAATCAGACCTGGACAAAATAGGTAAGGGTCAAAATATGAATACTGATTACAGCAATACCTAAAGAACTTTGTTGATAGTGGTGGATATTCTGCTGGGGATTCTGAAATGTTTAGTGGTTAAAGGCCTGAGTACCTGCAGCATCCTTTCTGTGTCCAAAGCATCTTTAAATTGATCTGTTTAAGTTTCTTTTTTTATGTCATTATTTCCATTTCTGTCTCAGTATTGTTTCATTTCAGATGTTGCAATTCATTTTACAATGGCTCACATGCTTACTTTTTTAAAAAAACCTAATCTAGTTTTTCACAATTAACACCAACATCACAAGTCTTTTTTTTTTTTTTTTTTTTTTCAATAAGACAGGTTTTTGTAAATCAGTTTTCTTAGACTGTGTTGTGAAAAGTTCTGTTATCAATTAATGGGAGTCTATTCCTGTAACTAGAGAAATTTGTGTTTTTATTTGAAGGCAAAAGCGTTTGAAGACCCATCTCACTGAACACAGCCAGTAGAAGAGCCCCGAACAAAAGGCACACCCCAAGTCTGAACTTATCTCCATTAACCAGGTGGATAACAGAGCCACATCTTTATCCACCGTCATGCAACTGCCCCTCACCTCATTGGATGGAACGATTTTTAGTTAAGACTTTTCGTTGGAGGTCCACACCCCACATGTACGTGAGCTGGCAAGGACTCCAACAGAAACGTCTAGCTCATTTGTCTCAGTCAGTCAGCTCTCACACTTACACAGTCACAAAGAAAATAAAAAACATTTATATGCACAACCCTTATTTAGAAACAATTAAAATGAACTTTTCTATTACAACTGTATTTGTTTCATTTACCAAATTATTAAAACCAACATTGTGTTTAAATTTAGAGCGTACTTCATGTTCTTTAGCAGCTCTGTGCAGAAGGATCTTCAGAAAATGTTCCTATCGTTTAGTAATTTCTCAGTGATGTCACAGTTTCATACATCCAATGATGTAACATATAAATCAAGTTGCTTTGCAGTTTGAACTTTAAGTTTTGTTTTCATGAGACAGGATTTGATAACATGTTTTCTAGGTTTTGCGAATTTGATTGTTCTTGACTGAAGCTTTAAATGATCTGCAGATGGATTATTTCTCTGACTCGGTCAGTTTTGTCTCTTTTACACACTCTTGCAAGGTTTAATGAAAGTTTGATAAAATCTCAGTAAGCATCAGAGCTTCACTAGTTTAATACTAACTGCTTCCAACAACCCCTCCACATGTTAATGTTCCCTTGTTAATAGTCAACCCTAAGTCTCTAACATCAAAAATAGATTTACACACTAACCTAAAGTTCATTGTAATTAATATTTATAATATTTATAATAATATAATAATATAATATTTATATTATAATATTCAGAGAATATTTCTTCGTATCTTGTTATGATAAAAAGTCATAGCAAAGAATAATTGATCAAATTCCAGTTATTTTTAATTGATCTTTCCAGAGAGCTGTTGTTCTCTAGGAAGCTGAATGGATTCAGATCAAATTAATACGCCGGCTGATTTACATATTAATGTGTGAGAACAATCAGTTAATTATGCAGTGGCATAATTTCATTTAATGCTAATAGCTGCTGTGGGTGTTTCACACTTTTTGTGAGTGTTTGCTTTAATTATTTTTCATTTTATCTTTTGGACCCAGTTTATGCAGTTCAGAGTTTATTTTATTTTAATTTGCTTTGGTGAATGGCATTTGGTTATTCTGTCTTCATTGTCATGAGTACGGATGGGGTTTTGTGTTTCGTTCCTTTCATAAGAAATGTTCAAATTTAAACACCACCAACGTTCTAAAAGTCTTTTTCTTTGTGGAAACCTACAAACCTGAAACCTACAAACCTGAACTTCAAAAGCATGTATGAAAAAGAAGACTTTCTGTTTGACACCCAGGGCATTGCTGCGTGTCCGGTTTGATGGGTTAACTACTTAATCACTGCAGCAGCGATCTCTGAAGCCTCGCAGCGGTGCTCTCTTTGTGACTACCGTTGCTTAAAATAAGCAGAACCTTTCCTGTTGATTCTACCTCACGTCCTCTAACTGTAACAGAAGAGGTACAGTTTACCACCAAAACCCCTAATTCATCATGCACAAAATAGGAGACTGATGGCAGCTGAAACAGTTGATAGGGTCAACTTACAGGGAGGAAAAATGAACCCAAACTCCCTGCAGGCTAAAAGTTCTTGCTCAGATGTGTCAGCGTAGTGGTAAATGTCTCACCTACACTGTGACAAGTAGTTCTGTGGTTTACATTTCTTACCTTCTTGCCTACCCTTTGGTTTGCACAGATGTGTAGCAAACATGAGAGACGTTATTATAGACAGAGTGAGCTAGAGGCTAGAAATGAGCTGCAAAGTGAAAGACATGGAATACCAGAGTAAGCATCAAAAGAATGACTTTTTAATTTCGGAAAGTTGCTGAAGAGGAAGGCGATTGGTCAATGCTCTACAATCTGCTACCAGCACTTGGGATTCAGCCCTCATTTTCAATACCCTTGAACAAATTGCGATCAACATCATCAGTGTATAGAATAATAATTGTAATTGACTTTCTATTGTGATATTCAACTACTGCAATGTCTCCTTGCAATCTGCTAGATTTCCCTAAATAGAAAATGTTTTAAACTCATTTGAATAATGAAATGAACTGAATATAATGCACTGTCTGATAACTAGGATTAATTGTAATGTATATGTAACTGAGTTGAAATCACTTTTTTAATAAAGTGCGTCAAGACGACATTTGTTAGTAGAATTTTTTGTGAATTCTACTAAGAATTGAATTCAAATATTGCAAATATATGTTTACCATGTATTGGTACAACCTATATCCTTTGATGCTACATAAGGTATAGAAAGTAGAGAGCCCTGAAAACATCTGGATGTAAGTGGATCAATTTTTAACATTATACATCTGAACTAGAAAAGAAAAAGATGGTGAGTAATTTGCTCTTTTTAAAGAAAAAATAATGAAAGGTTGGTCATCTTTGCCAGTTATGTAATTTGAATTGTTTTGTGCCAATTCCCAAAACCTGATGTCTCAAAGCACTTTACAAAAAACTTAAATCAAATCCTTCAGATAGAGTCCATGCTAAATAAAATCTTTAATCACAAATTGATCTTAGTTATCAAACAATGCAGTCAAGTCGCATAAGACAACAAAAGACTGCAACAAATAAATTCTGTTTGAAAATAAAAATCAAAGTAAGTCATGAAGTAAAACTGAATTTTCTCGTATAAAACATTGTGTGGACCTGTTGTAAACCGTAACAATGTTGCTTAAAGTGCTGGCACCTGCATTTTTGTGTTTCATTTCACATATTCTACAGAAAGGTTTGAGCTTAATCTGAGCAGAGTCTGTGAGCGCCTGTTTTGGCCACTAGATGTCGCTGCTGCGCCGCATCACGACACATGGTCTTGTTCATTTGGTTCCATCAGCCGCTGTGGTGAAGGCAGAGTTTTGCTGCAGCCACA